ATCAACAATCTCATTTTTCTGATTGTAAATTGCTATTCTAAAATATACTATACTGTTGTGATGATTTGAGTTAAACTTTATAATCTTGAAATTTAAATCAAAATGAAACAGAAAAAGGGGGGGGGGGGACTATAAAGTGTAACGCGTTGATTTCTTTTCTTAATAAAAAAAATCATATACTGTGTAATCTAGAATTAAACCTGTCTGAAAGTTTTTACAAGACTTGTCTATACAAATTAGACATTATATATTTTTAGAAACATACCTAGCTTGATAAGAGTCACCATGTATCAGCAGTATTTTTTCTATTCTTACCTGGTATACCTGAATTAGAATTTCCCCCAAAAGATACACAGAATAGAATGAGGATCAAAGTAAAACATATGGCGAATCTCATTTCTCTTCAGTATGTTGCACACAGCTGTATCGTTGCCTATTGTGGTGAATCTGACCACCATCATTGTATTATTTATTCAAATGAAAATGAAAAATGTCCTTCTTTTAAGATTAAATATTAGCGATAATCTGTTGATACAGGATATATGAGAGCTGGACAGCGGATATTAAGCGGGCCTTATCGGTTTCAATAGCTCGGACACCAATATTTTGATTTACAAAACTACAGGTTAAAGGAAAGTTTATTGAATGTAGAAAATCGGGCACCTGTCACAGAATTAAACTTAGTGTTAACAATGATCAACAGAATTAATAAATAAAAGCAAAATAAATACTTGATAAGTGTTCAAGGTCATGTCAGACTAGGCATTTCCTGGATAGAACAAGATGTGTTTGTAAAACACTAATGCCCCCGTATGGCAGCTTATGGCGAGGGTTGAAATTTCTCAAATGGAAGTTAAACTCTAAGGTCAATTTTTAGTACCCAAAGGAAGGTCTTATCACAAGGAATACACTTGTGAAATATGAAAGCCCAAGTACTAACGGTTCAAAAGATACTGTCAAGGTTAAAAAGTTTTATAAGTGGGTCAAACTCTTATAGGTCAAAAGATAAAAATTATTGGTATCCAAAGTAAGGTCTTGTCACAAGGAATACACCTATAAGAAATATGAAAGCCCTTATTCTATCGGTTAAAAAGTTATGGTCATGGTTAAAGTTTTTAGTGGGTCAAACTCTTAGGTCAAAAGATAAAAATTATTGGTATCCGAAGTAGGGTCTTGTCACAAGGAATATACCTTTGAAATATAAAAGTCCTTGTACCAACGGTTCAATAGTTATGGTCAAGGTTAAAAATTGGGCCAAACTCTAAGGTCAAGGTCAAATATTTTTAAATACAATGAAAGGTCTTGTCGCAGTGAAAACACGTGTAAAGTATGAAGCCCAACATAAACTATTCATAAGTTATGGCTATGGTTCAAGTTCAGTAATTTTTGGTAAAAGTTGGTCAAAACTCCAAGCTCAAGGTGACTAAGGTCAAATTTAGTGGTAATTAAAGAAAGATCTCGTCACAAGGAATACACCTGTGAAAAAATGAAAGCCTTCCACTCCAAAGTTGTTAACATCAAAGATTAAAGTTTTTGCAGAGAAATTGAAGACAAACAGTTATACAGACGGACTGTCAAGACAACAATTTTATACACCCAAATCTTCGATGAAGGGAGCATAAATAAGAAGTCAGTTATACATTGATCCCTTCTCTAGGGTCTGATGTCAGGTAAACATTGATCCCTTCTTTTGGTCTGATGTCAGATATACATTGATCCCTTCTCTAGTGTGTGAGATCAGATATACATTGAGTCCTTGTCTAGGGTGTGATGTCAGATAAACATTGATCCCTTCTCTAGGGTGTGATGTTAGATATACATTGATCCCTTCTCTAGGGTCTGATGTCAGATATACATTGATCCCTTCTCTAGGGTCTGATGTTAGATATACATTGATCCCTTGTCTAGGGTTTGATGTCAGATATACATTGATCCCTTCTCTAGAGTGTGATGTCAGATATACATTAATCCCTTCTCTAGGGTTTGATGTCAGATATACATTGATCCCTTCTCTAGAGTGTGATGTCAGATATACATTGATCCCTTCTCTAGGGTGTGATGTCAGATATACATTGATCCCTTCTCTAGGGTGTGATGTCAGAAATACATTGATCCCTCTCAAACGTCTGATGTCAAAAAATCATTGTGTGAGAAATACATTGATTTTTTTTTCTCTAGGATTTACTGTCAGAGATACATTGATCCCTTCTCTAGGGTCTGATGTCAGATATACATTGATCCCTTCTCTAGGGTTTGATGTCAGATATACATTGATCCCTTCTCTAGGGTCTGATGTCAGATATACATTGATCCCTTCTCTAGGGTCTGATGTTAGATATACATTGATCCCTTGTCTAGGGTGTGATGTCAGATATACATTGATCCCTTCTCTAGGGTCTGATGTCAGATATACTTTGATCCCTTGTCTAGGGTCTGATGTCAGATATACATTGATCCCTTGTCTAGGGTCTGATGTCAGATATACATTGATCCTATCTCTAGGGTCTGATGTCAGATAAACATTGATCCCTTCTCTAGGGTGTGATGTCAGATATACATTGATCCCTTCTCTAGGGTGTGATGGATATACAGGATGTGGTGTCAGAGATAATATTTTTAGGGTCTGACAGATATACAAGATCCCTTGTCTAGGGTCTGATGTCAGAATAGCTTCTCTAGGGTCTGAAAGATATACATTGATCCCTTGTCTAGGGTCTGATGTCAGATATACATTGATCCCTTGTCTAGGGTCTGATGTCAGAGATACATTGATCCCTTCTCTAGGGTGTGATGTCAGATATACATTAATCCTCTAGGGTCTGATGTCAGGTAAACATTGATCCCTTCTTTTGGTCTGATGTCAGATATACATTGATCCCTTGTCTAGGGTCTGATGTCATGATCACTCCACAGTTTGATGTCAGATATACATAAATCCTTTCTCTAGGTCTGTCAGACATATATACTGTCTGAACAATGTACATTGGCCTCTACCAGAATTTGAAGGTCAAACCTTTTAATAACGTGATAAACTTTATACACTTATATTTACATTTCCAATGTCTTTGTGTGAGATAAAATTACAAATAGCTAATGTACTTTAACATCAAAGATTAAAGCACATTTTTTTGCAGAGAAATTAGACAGAAGCAGGGCTTGTAACAGTTATACATGTAAATATAAGGAATAACTGTCTTATTTTTCGATTTCATGACAATGATCAATCAATTGGCTTGTGTTATAATTTCATGCATAAACGCCTTCAGCATTTATGCAAATTATCATGGAAGCCAATCGATTGATCAAATCATGAAATTGAAAAAATAAGAGTTATTCCTTTAATAACTTCTTCTCTCTAACAGAGAGCTTTCTCTCACAGAGCGCAGCTCTAGGAAATATGTTCTCTATTTTAATGTGTTCAACAACAAGAGGCCCATGGGCCTTATAGGTCACCTGAGTATCATGCAACAACTTTCCAACAATTGAATTTTATTCATGTTTTAATCCAGAGGCCATGGAATTCAAAATTTTGAAGACACCATTGCTTATCATAATTATGCACTCAGCATGCTTACTTTGGTTCGTAATACCCAGAGGTACATGTAGATCACAGTAAAAAAGAGAAAATGCATTTCCACTTTATCATTATCAGTTGTGCACCCCATCCCACAGAAACCACTGACCCTGGGGCCACATCTTTCAAAATTTTAGAAATTTTATTTCATCATGTTGTTGATTAGTACCAAAGTGCAGATTTCAAAGCATTAAATCATTTTCAGACCCCCCCCCCCCAAGTACCTTTGTCCCAGGGCCCAGAAAATTAAGCATTTTTGGAAGAAGCAGCGTTCTTTGTCATAAATATATACCTCATTTAATAACATGATAAACTTTCAAAGAATGCATTTTCACTATATATTTACATTTCCATAATTATGTACATAGTTCATTGGTTTGTGTGAGATAAAATTTTAAAGAGTTTATGCATTTTCACTATATAATCAATAGAGCCCCACCCTAACAATGAACACCCTACCCAGGGGTCATGAAATTCACAATTTTGGAAGACAGTCTTATTCAACAAAATGTACTTGGTTAGTTTATTTAATACTCAGGAGCAAAGAAGAAGATTTTCAAAGAAATAATTCATTTTCACTATATAATCAATATAGTCCCGCCCTAGCACCAGAACCCCTGACCCTGGGACCATTAGATTCACAATTTTAGAAGAGGCATCATCCTTATTCAACATAACTATGCACTAAGTTAGTTTATTTAAAGCCCACAAGCAGAAAAGAAGAACATCAAAGAAATAATGCATTTTCACTATATCATCTATATAGCCCCGCCCTGCCACTAGAACCACTGACCCTGGGGCCATTACTTTCACAATTTTAGAAGAGGCAGTCTTATTCAACGTAACTATGCACTTGGTTAGTTTATTGAATGCTCGCAAACAGAAAAGAAGAATATCAAAGAATTATTGCATTTTCACTATAATAATCAATAGAGCCCCGCCCTAACACTAGAACCCCTGACCCTGGGGTCATTAACTTCACAATTTTGGACGAGGCAGTCATTTTCAACTCAACTATGCACTTGGTTAGTTTATTTAATGCCCAGGACAATGAGCAAGAATTTCAAAGAAATAATACATTTTGATATATCTATTTAGCCCCGCCCTAGCACTAGAAACCCTGACATTTATGCCATGAATTTCACAATTTTGGTAGAAGACTCAGTCCTGATTACAATCATACCAACAGTTTGACTGCTTGATGTCTAAAGAAGAAGATTTTTAAAGAGCACTAATTTTAGTGGTTTTTGCCCAACCCTAAGGCCCCAGAGCGAAATTCAAAATTTTTGCTCTCACCCATAGATGCTATATGCCAAATGAAATTCTCTAAAAATGTTATTTTAATGTGTTCAACAAAAATATGAAATAAAAAGAACTTTTCACAGTTTTCCTGAATATTTTTTCATCAAACATTTAACAAATTACATTTATGTTGACATACATTATTTATATTTACAGAACAGTACAGTTATCGAGGTTGATGTGTATACTGTCTTTGCGAGTGTTAAGACTGAGATAAACACTAAATATTGTTTTTGAGGTATATACCAAATACTTAATAGTCTTTGTTTGTAAGTGTAAATTGTGGTATATACCAAATAGATTTCATAATTGTAGAGATTGAAGTATATAACAAAATCTTCCTTTAAAAAACTTATCATAAACTAAGTACATAACAAATTAGATTGTTTCGAGATATAATTTTGTTAAGAAAATAAAAATCTTAAGCTTCTCTCAAATTAAGTAAATCTAAATTCTCCAAAAGAATTCAATACCACAGCAAAAACAATTTTACAAAAAAAACAGTAAGAACCAACTAATTAACACAGAATATGTGAAGTACGTTATTTGTAAATATTGAAATTCTTACACAAATCAAGGAATGTAAATACTAAAGTGAAATTTATGTTAATTTCACCAGTTACTTGTTTTTCTATAACAGTACAGATATTTATCACCTGCTTTCATTCATTAATTTGCCAGTAAGAAAACACTGATGGCAAATTATAATGAAAATACAACAACCTCATGTACATCCAATGTAAAGAAAACCACCATTTTCTTTTAAAAAAAAAAGACACTTAATTTTTAACAACAGTTTAATAGAGTTGCTTCCCAAATGAACCACCAGACAGCAATCTGACTACATGGCAGCAGTTCTCTGTGGTGAGTTGTGTCAGTTGGCAGCAGTTTCCTGTGGTGATTTGTGTCAGTTAGGAGACTCAGGGTTCCAGCTTTCGTCTGTTTCATCAGACGCGTACTCGGACAGGAGCTGACCCGCTGATTTAGGGACCAGCACCTCGTAGTCACTTCCTGTGTCGTACACTGAGGAGGAGGTTACATCACTGTCCTCGGGGGAGGTCCCAGGCTCCCAGGTATAATCCGTGTCTGAGTTGTAGTTCTCTGTATCCAGTCCAGAATACTCGGACCTCGTGTCTTGAAACACTCTCTGTGATGTCACTGTACACTGCTTAGAATTTGACCTCTGACCTCTAGATTGGTGCTCAGTGGCAGAATTTGACCGCTGATTTCTTGATTGGTGTTCTGCAGAACTAGTTCCACACCAAGAATTTGACATTTGACCTCGCGATTGGTGCTCTGTTGTGGTGGTGTGGTATGAGGAGAGCCCCATTGAAGTTTGTTCTTTTTTTCTTCGTTTGCTGTCACCATTGTCACTGTCATTGGTGGAACTTATAGTTTCTGTTCTCTTTCGTTTGGAGGCTGATCTTGGTTGGACATTTTCAGTACTACTTAAGCTTCCCTCTCCAAAGCCGCTGTCACTCTGCGATCTTTTAGCAGCAGATTTTTCTGGAGAGTATGCCTCCTTGCTGTATGACGTCTGCTGTGACCTTGTGCGAGGCCTCTCAGGGAGGTGACTTCTCTGAGGTTGTTCTGGCTGATCCCTGGAGGGATTTTCTCCCTGATGTTCTTCTAGTCGATCCCCCGAGTGATTTCCTCTCTCGTCTTGTTCAGGCTGATCCCGGGAGCTATTTCCTCTCTCATGCTGTTCAGGTGACTCTCTGAAATTCCTCCTCCTTGGCAACCATTCTCTGGTGGCACGATGTGTATCATCACTACTGTCTAATTCCTCACTTTGGTCTGATGACCTCCTGTTCCTTTGTATTTCTCTCCTGTCATAATCCCCTCCAGTTTGGTTTCTGTAGTCTAGGTCTTCTTGATGGGAGAATCTGGGGCTTGTCCTTGAGACATAACTGTCATTATCAGATTCTATGTCTGTTCCATCTTTATCTGAATTGTGGCTTGATTCACTTCTGTCAGAGTAACTATGACTTCTGGAGTGAAAATTATCTGGTGAAGTAGGACTAGAGGAAAAATAATCTGGTGAAAAATGGCTTGATCGAGATCTTGAACGGGATCTTGAATAAGATCTTGAACGGGATCTTGAAGATGAAATAAAGCGTCTAGATGTACGTCTCCTCCGAAAGTGATACAAACTAGATTCACCAGATAGAATAGAGTTTGGACTTGTACTTCTTGAGGATCGGAATGATCGACTTGGAGTACTGAATTCACTGTGTTCCGATCTATCACTATGGTGAGAGCTCCAGCTACGGTTCCTCAGGGTTCTGTCTGAGCTCCTGCTTCTTGATAAACTGTGTCTGCTATAACGGGATTCTCGAGAAGAACTTCTGGAATTATCCCGCGAGGATCGCCTGGATTGATAAGATCGTGAGTGATAAGACCTTTCAGACGAGCCGTCATTCCAGTGTCTGCCACGGTGAGAAGACTGGGGTGAGTAGATTTCATGTCGCCGACTATTTCTATCCACATCAGACTCATTCACTACATCTACTTCTACATCACTCTCGTCCTGGTCATTAAATGGGGAGGGGGATCTAGGGGGAGTGTTAACAACATCTATCTCTCCAGAATGGTCCTCTCTAGCATCTCTCTGATCCCCCCGCCCGTATCGTCTTCTCCTCCTCCTCGGACTATCTCCAAAGTCCCGCATGCTTCTCCAGAAGTTTCTGTCCTCACGGTCAAATTCTTCAAAAGTCATCCCATGATGTCTGTCTTCTGGGTCGGAGAATCTGTCACTGTACTGGCTATAGTCATCATACGAACTCATCGAATATGGACTCTCACTTGATGACATGAGGAAATCGTATGATGGACTTCTACCATGCTCTCGTCTCAGTGCCTCTATTTGTTGGTTTAATTTCTCAGTCATGGCGTTCAGCTCATTTACTTTTTTCTTCAGGGTATCAACTAAGGAATATTGTTCTGAAAATAAACAACCAAATACTTTACAAGTCATTGTTCATTATTTTTTTGGACAAAAAATTAATATTTTAAGTGATGAATATAAAGATTAATCTAAAAATATTTAACCAAGACAAGATCTTTTCACATTCCATGACTTAAATATTTTCAATAACTTTCCATAATAAAATTTAACAGAATGTCCCTTTAAAAAGATAAAATAGCATAAAATTAGGCATACCTAAGGAGTACTTCCTTAGTTCTTCGATGCAGTCATGACCTTCATAAATTCTCACAGGAATCATCAAGCCACACACCCTGGTGCACAATTTCTCTCGGTGTTCACACTCCTCTTCTTCATGTTTCTTCAGAAACTTGCGTAAAACTGACTCAAAACATTTTTCGTATTTACAATTCATCATTTTGAAGTCACACTCATTGATGTGTTTGTCGTACATCTCCAAAGTCACTCGTTCTTGACAGCCATTAATTCTAAAATCACAAAACATCGACAAACGGTTTAACATGTTTTGTACGATGGGAAGGATTGGTTTAAGATGTCTTTTTTTCAGTCGATGGCGACACGTTGGACAGTTCCTGTTGTGACGCAGCCACGTCTCTATACAGATTTTACAGAAGACGTGGCGACATGGGCTTTCTACTGGGCCATCCAACACACACTGACAAATACAACAGACCAGCTCCGGATCTGGTGGGGTGTCAAACTTCTCCACATCAAAACGAGACATGTCTGCAAGAGAACATTCAATTGATCACTCAATTTTGTCACTCACACATGTATTGTCAGTCCATTAATAAAGTAAATCTTAGAACTAGCATGGATGAGGTCAATCATGAGCATTTCTCTACAATGAAGTCAAAGTAAAGAAAGTATCATACTTCATTACGTGACAACAATACTAAATATCGCAAACTGTTTATGTGTCAGAAGTGATAAATAAATGACATAGATTATTGCCAGTAGTACATGAACTCAAACTTTTCACACCTGCATATTATTCAATATTTATCCAGAGTTCTTGAAATCTTTTTTTCTGCTGTCAGTCATTCTGGACTGACTGACATGTGAAGTTTGTCAGTCAAGACAGAAACCTATCAGTCCCAAAAAAATTCAATAAAAAGATGAAAACTGTAGTTGAATTTTATTATCATTACATTGTGCACCCAGCATCATCATAAACACTGCACACTTAATGACGATTCGATTATTGTATAACAATTTTCTTTGAATTCTTGAGGTGGTCAATTTTCTTCATAAGTTTTTAATCTAGTTTGATTTTATTACCAGGCTTAGGTTACCTTAGTGCCATCAACAAACTTGTTTTAACAGTTCACCAATGTTTGGCACATAATTGTGTTCATCGAAGAAGCCAATTTACATGATACAGAAAAGCAATTGAAAGTTGAAGTTGAAGTTGGTTATAACAATTTAGTCGGTTTTAACTCAGAACGCAAAGTAGTCGGTCCACAAGAACTCTGTTAAGGTCATTGGCAACGAAGGGTTTCCGGAGAAAAAAGGTTTATACCCAGGTTTCTTTACTTATGAAAAAAAGCACTAGGCGCTGAAAACAAAGAAAGCATTGTAACAGACTGAGAGGTAAACAAAAGCACGTGTGTTTTTCTATCGGATATATTCAACTCTACAGTAATAAAAGAAAAGCAGCGCTGGGTTTTGTTTACATTGTGTTGAGGGGGCAGACAGTTAACAGGTCGTCATTTAGAATAGGTAAATGATTGCTGGGAAGTGCAAAGATGTGAAATAATTATGCTGAAAGTGTTGATAGCTAACCGAATGAGAACGATTCCATAGGTTATGTGAATGATGCACCATTAAAAAGTTACTATAAATCCTTGCAAAAATGTTTTTTAACAGTTCGTTTCCAGTTAAGTGAATTATAGAATAGAAACAAACAACCACTCTCTTGGATGTTATTACAGTAAAGGGAAGTAACTCAAAATTAAAGAACAGTGCTAGTATTTCTGTGTTTTGTTTCAATATTCGCATTTTCAGCCAAGTTATATGCATGTCATCGGAAATAAGGTTTCAACAATGTGTTTTATGTATAAACCTTATGAAATAAATGGGTTTTAGAGAAAACGTATGGTTAAAAATAATATAGGCCCATTTTATCAACATTTTACATAGGAAATGCATTGAAAATTGTAAAAACATTGATTTGACAAAATCGTTAAAGGAAGGCTGGCTTGATGGGTAAAAAGGACCTGAATTGAACATGTTTGGTACCATTAAACCTGTTCAAAAAATCTTGAAAAATTCTATACGAAAACCAGAAACGTTGCCAATGTCCTTAACATGTATCATGAAATGATTAAATGCCCTTTTTGAAATATGCCCATGACATAAGGAACCAATGGGCCAGCTCATGTCTTTGTTTTCTGAAATTTAATTCAATTCTTAAATAAACATATGCATGTCATACAAGCTTTTGACTATTTTTTTTTTTGCTAAATTGCCTCAGAAGAGAATTTTCTCTGAGTCAGTGAGTGTAATAATCACTCCAATTTTGGGGGAGAATGTTCTCAAAATCGGATATTCTGTAATTTTTATAGAAGTTGCTATATTTACTAACTAGTATAATAAGCATCAAGAACCCGGGTTAAAGTATGGTGTTAAAATTTAGTATCAGAAACAAATGTCCCAGTCCTGTACTGTTGCATTAGTACGTTTGACTCCGCAACTGCTGAATTCTTAAAGTCATTAAAAAGGGGTATGGTTCTAATATTTACCTCTGTCCTCATACAAGGTATTTAATAAATTTACAATTATTTCATTATTTGCATCTCAGTAAGTCAGACTGTCAGTGTGCGTCCTCCATGATCCATCTTTTTTTGCATTGTAAGCACGCAGAAGAGTTCCAATAAAACAGAGTTGTTCTTCTTTGAGTAATATTTGGAAACTTCCGGTGCACGTGTTGACCATGATGATGTTCATAAAGTGACAACAACTAAAACTATGACACAACTGAAAGAGAAGTAATCTATTTTGTTAAATCATTATTAAGAAAAATGTCTGCATGATGAGTCACAAACAGCCAATTGATTGTTTTAAGATACAGTAGTATTGACATTGCATAGTGTCAATACACCAAAGTCTGTGTATTTACAGGTTATGAAGACTTGTGTGTTTGATGTTTTGCATAAGGAATTTGTCCGTTGAATTTTTTACTTTGTATTTACAGTTTTGCTGTAGAAACAAAGCATGAACCATTTTTCACAGGAGGGAAAATTTATGTAAGTACGATACTAGCAGGCCCAGCAAAATATCTTGATTTAGCTAATATAGCTATAAAGTAAAGCTTGAAAATAGCTATATAGAGTTGTGTGCCATAATTTAAGATCATTTTATTTTTTCTCTATATATTTCATTGAAAACATCATTTTGTAAAAATCATTGGCAAATTAATGGTAAATTTTTGTTCAATTTAAGTATTTATTTCAGTACTTATTAAACTAGAAAATGTGTAGTTATCTTTGAGTGTTGGTAAAATGGGTAGGCAAACCCGGGCCGGGGCAAATCGAGATTTTTCAATTTTCCGTCTTAATGAGGCCGAGTCTAATTTGAGTGCGCATGACTTTGCGCAGCTTTTTAATTTCATGCAGTCATTTGTGTGACAGTAAATCTTTGCCAAATATTGTGATTTTAATACAAAATTAACATTATCTGTAACCTCTACTGGTCTGAAAATGTGCTTTTACGACAATAATGAGGAAAAAACGCTGAAATTGCTCTAATGACGTGACTATTTTTGGATTTTGTAAGCAATGCATGACGCTGAAAAAAGATGAATGGCTCGTTTGTATGTTCAAGGCCTCCGTGGATTATATACAAAAAACTGATGACAGAACATCCAAAGAAACATACTAGCAATCTAAACATTGCTATTTTTACCGAAAAATCATATGCGCCGATAATTCATCTGCACTGATACGTATTTATACCGTAATATGGCAATTTTAGAGGTATTTGCTTTGAAAAAAATAAATTTAGTAATTAATATTCCAAGACCAACCTAGATGGTGAACTTTTTTTGAAATTTCACTACTTGGTGACTTTATACAATAACTTTCATCTACTTGAAAGAAAAAGAAATCCCTAGGGCAGAAATACAAAAAATATGAAAAAATGTGATAATTTGGCAATTTTCCAACAAATTTCCATAGGGTCCAATAGTGAAATTTGACAACTTTTGAAATGATCCCCTAAGAAATCGGGATGGTAAACATTCGATTTTTTAATCTTAAAACAATAAATATAACAGTAAAAATTTATTATCAAAAAATTATCAAAATCCCTAGGGCAGAAATAATTAGACTCGGCCTCGTTAATACTTTATCGATCGAGCTGAAATTTTCAGGTTCTATTCTATATGTCTTTATTTATATTCGCTGTTAAAATTTCCCCTAAATACAATATTGTAGATTTTACCGGGGCTTATTGATTTTCAGGTTGTTAAAATGGGTAGGCAGTTTCCCAAGTCCACAACATACATGTATGTTTTCTGAAATATATTGCAGAAAGTCCATAAAGTTATGAATAATTCTGGTGTTTAAGAATATAATTATATGAACGAGAAATGAATATATCTTCATTGGTTATTGCAATATTTACGTAAAATTACATGTTTTAAGAAAAACCGGGTCATTAAAACCGGATCCGATCGACCGGGACAAACCTGAAAATTCCGGAATAATTGTACAGGTTATTTGATTTTGCTGAAAATTGACATTTAATCTAAACAGTTCCAAAACCCAATTTCAAATTGATAATTTAAATTATTAAATAAAAACGGTTCTTGTGAGGATACTTCTATGTGGTTAGAGCTGGGCAATGTCGAAAAAGTGATAGCTAGACATCCTCTGATAAAAACAATTGGCTTTCATTATTTCGGAATTTTCTGATTTGCCCCGGGTGATCGGATCCGGTTTTAATGACCAGATTTTCTGAAAATGTGTAAAATCTGCAAACTTATAGCTTTTATAATGTAAAACTAATCATATTTATTTAATATAGAGTGTAAAATATCGGAAAAGCCCACAATTGTAATAGTTTCATGAGTCGTAATTCAAAAATACCGTAAAATGTCGTATTGATTTTGCCTACCCATTTTACCAACTTGGAAATGAACAATCGCCTAGAAATTCCGAAATATTGCGTAGATTATGGCAATATTTACAGAGAATACAAAAGAACCTTCAAGAAACATTATCTGAAATTTTCAAATAAATTGGTTGAGTTTTAGCGAAGATATTTGAAAAATCTCGATCTGCTCTGGCTTTTAATTTGCCCCGGCCCGGGATTGCCTACCCATTTTACCAACATTCATTATCTTTCTTTAAAAGATCATTACATGTTTAATTTTTTTTAAAAGATAGTTCATCACTTAACATCAATTCTAAAATTCAATATCAATGTTGACTATATAGTGAGTATGTGACTTAAAAATTCATGTCACACTTAAGACTCCTCCACACCATGTGACTTGTGAGTTGTGACGTATATAGAGAAAAAATACTTTTACTTCCAGTTTTATCTAGTTTATGCATGGACGATTTGGCCTACCACCATTTGTAAAAGAGTCTTACAGATGCTTAAGAGATAAAGATTTTGCAAAGAGAAAAGTTTGCAGTACACTGAGAGCGACACCCTAATCATAAACAATGAACACATGCCATGGCATGATCACGGAGTGACCAATGGAAAAAGATGTTCCAGGACCTGTTTTTTTTAAATAAAAGAATAACAGACGTCTGGGATTATGTTACATAATAATTCGTAAACAACGGGTACCAGTATGACGAGAAACGTTTAGGTTATTTATACTTTCAAGGCAAATCAACCGAGTCTGTTTTATTAGTTTAAATTTTGGCACAGTGATTTGTGCGTTTCAATAAGGCGTAACAAAAAAATATGTTTGTTTACGGTTACCGGACCGACCCTAATTTTAATCGCCGACCCAAACTTTTTTTTTCATCATAAAAATCCAGAAGTAACTGGCCGGTCAGTTTAACTTTTACATTCATCTTTGAAATCGAAATTGAAAGTACAGAAACAAAACCAGTGAGTTCAAGATCTACATCAACGCATTCGTTGCAATTTGCTTACCATTGCGTGGCAGTTGCAGGGGTGCTACCGTTTTTTGGGGGTAGTAAAAATAAAATTAAAATTATGCATGTATAATTTATAAATACATGAGAAACACAAACGGTATTTTCACTCATTGTTTTGCTATTTAATTTCCAACTAATGAAAATTTTCCAGGCAGCATGCTCCTACTGTTCTTAAATCACTTTAATCTCATCCATTTTGCATTACTACTTGACTTATTTACTTAAAAAAAAAAACGATCGTTTTTTTTCTAATCCGAATTTCCTCCATTCCTCTGTTAATGGTAAATATATGCAGATATCTCTTTCAATTATATACGATCCCCAAATCGAGTGATAGCTAAGTGTTATGTGATTAAACTTTAATATATATCAATTATACTTAGTAGTTTGAAATGAAAATAAAATGATTTTTGCTTCATTTTAGATAAGCTAGACTAGTGCAATATGGTCAGAAATAGGTAGAATGTTCTATCGTTAAAATGATAATTAACGATAAACAACGTGTATTCGTAATGTAGCAGAAAGAAACACGGGCGATAACTCGCATAGTGCATTTACTAGGAACAATCTAGAGAGTTCCGAATGTAAACATGGCAGGTAATTTGAATCGAGAGAAAAACGTTGAGAAAATTAATTGGATTTTCGTATTTATATGGATTATTTTTTGGGATAAAAGGCATAAGCAATCTCAAGAAGGTTTGTTTTGATTATTTTGGTAGTTATTCCCAGTGCAAATCATTTTATATTCTTCAAAATCGTTTCGGAGCGGATCCGCTCCGGTTTGCTACATTGCAAGTATATGGGACGTATTCTAACTGTGGTGAGGGCCTGTACCGAGACACAGTTAGATTATTCTAACTAGGTCAGAAAAGAAAAGATAATTTCTTAAAATTTTTAAACTTCAACTTTAAAAGGAATGGCTTAGGACCCTGGCTTTCTCAACAACTTTTTAAGATATTAGTTTTTACAATTTTTTGCCCCTATATTTGGACTGGTCACTTAAAACTTCGGACTAGTAACTTTATTGCTGTTACAAGCCTGTTGGTTAGTACTTGATTTTTTTTTTTAATTGCACACTCCTGGAGTTGTAAGGCAGTTGGCAAGAAAGATTATATTGTCTACCACCCATATTACAAGCCCAAACAAAAGTAACGCACCATACAATGGTAAAACTGTCTTGTAATTCCAATTCATTTGAATTTGTGTATACAAAAAAATTCAATAAAATAAAAAAAATTTCCTACCTACCGACCCTATTTTATTTCAGCATGTAACAGTAAACAAAGTTATTTTTTTGTTTGGCCTAATACATTACCTCATTGTGTGTTTATAAATATTGATAAGTTCAGTGGCAGTAATTACTAAATATAGTATGGTGACATATGCAGAGACGGGCAACAGGAAAGATAACTCCAAAAAGGAACTTTGATACCAAAGATTTTGAAAATATTTTTTCTACATCAGTGCATTTAATTTTAATTCAATTTTTTGATGTAATCTAATTCATTAATGTTTCTTCTCTACAAAAGGAGTCTTTATTGATTTTTCTTGAGATGTATTTTAGAGAAAATGAGTTTTATGTACTTTTTATAAATAAAATAAATTTCTATAAAAAATACAAATCTATGTTGATCGATAAAATTAAGTTTTTATGGTTTTTCTGTGAGCTTAAAAATATACGATAGGGTAAGACAAAATTTGTTGTGCTAGGTATGAAAACGCCTTGGGAAAAATTTCTTGAAACTTTTGAAATAATTATTCTAAAAAATCAGTATGAATTACATTTTAATCCCTGGACAGTTTTTAAAGGTTGATATGCTTGTTAAAAGTAATGCTCAATAATATGAGAACATATTAAGCTGTGGGTGTGTGGAGGACCCTTAAATTACAATATTTTAAAAATATCAAAGCTGATCAGATAAAAACTATTGTTTTCATCAACCACAACAATTTCTTGGATTATCAAGACATTTGTGATAAAATCTGTCAAGAATTGTTGTCATGCCAGTGATTTTACAAAATGTTGTTTTCAATGAAATATATAGAGAAAAAATAAAATGATCTTAAGTTATGACACACAACAGTAGCTTTATTTAGCCTTTCAAAAAGGCTTGATAAAGCTATATTTATGCAGTTTTTCAAAATAGTCATAGTTGACTATAATAATGAATGCAAAATTTTCAAGGTGAAATGGAAAATGTTTGTCATATTTCCTAGTATATAATAATAATGATCTCTTTGTGTTTTCAGATTTCTAATAATGGAACATATATGTTTTGTGGGTGTGGCAACAAGATCCACATATTGGAGGTAGAATCTGGCCAAACCAAGTTCACATTATATCAGGTTCGTTAAGTAATAAAACATACTAGATATTAAAAAAATTAGCATCTTTGGTGTTAAGATAATTCAATGATAGTTCCTCAGTTTCTGGCATGGCATTAGCAGTTTCCATGGAATTCCACAAAAACATGCAGTTTTATGCAGTCATCTTTGAATATGCAACACATGAACAGACAGACAGTTCTGAAGTATATCTTATACTGTGTATGGGAAAATTAATTATATGTGAGCTAAAGGCTCATGTGAAACTTTCTGATCACATTTTGTCTGGCATTCATGATGATAAATAAATAGACAATAATTTAGATGACAAATCAATGGAATTTTATCCCCAGGTAAATTTGTGCTAGCTTCTGCAATATTGAAAATTTAATGGCATTTTTAAAAGTTTTCTTCTTGAACTGTTAAGTCAGAAAAATAAAACTTATCAAGTATGTGAAAACTTCATTATATAGTTTAGATTCAAGTTTGTTCAAAATTATAACTTCTGGGAGTAGCATCAGGCTACAATAGACCATCAAAGGTTTACATAGGAATTTTTAGAAAACAAATCTTTGAAAATCTTAATAAGTAACTCATTTCATAGGGAAGAATAAAATTTGCTCAAAACTTGACCCCTTTTTGAAGGGTGGGGGAAACACTAGGTGATCAAAATTCAGATGGGAATATACACAGGTAAAAAAATACCAAATCTTCTTCTCAAGGATAGGAATGCACAGGAAAAAAGAACAAGAATAACAGGATTGTGTTGATCTTATTGATATTGAAGCATTCCAATGTTGTGTGGATTCAGCTTTGATAAATCCATAAAACCATAGAGCTAGCTTTAGACCCACATTATGAAGTCAGCTGCTGATGGAAGTAGTAGGACCAAAGTGACTTAGGCGAGCATTGGGGATTACTGTGAAATCACTAATTTTCGTGGGGGTTAATTTTTGTGGTTTTCAAGGTATGAAGAGACCCACGGATTTATATCCACCACGAAATGCAATTTTTCACATATATATTACTACTGAACAATTCTCCAACCATGAAATCAAATCCTGATGAAGCAAGATATTTTCCTCAAACCACGAAAATTTGACCCCTCGAAAATGTGATTTTACAGTATTTTTTTTTCATTTCAGGAAGAAGATGAAGAAATAACCCATTTCTGTTTATCTCCAAGTAATGAGGTAATCTTCCTTTACATATTAAACTTACCAATGTATGCTTCCATACTTTATAACTTGTATTCACAATTTTAGGTTGTTTTTTTTTTTTAACTTTTATATTAATGATGCATACTGTATTTAGTTAATGATGCATCTTGTTTAACTTTACTGTGTTGGTGTTTCATTTTTAGCTCTACTGGTCAGAGACCAGAAGAGCTTATGCGATAGTAATGCGTCCGGCGTCCGTCCATCTGTCTGTCTGTCTGTCTGTCTGTCTGTCTGTCTGTCTGTCCGTCTGTCTGTAAACAATTTTTCAAAACGCTACTCCTCCTACAATTTTAGTCTGATTTCAATATTACTTGGCACACAAGTAGACTACATTAAGATACATAGAATAGTGCATCGGTTTTTGATTTCAATGAACGGTGTTACCATGGTTACTAAAAATAGAATTTTCTGTGAAATTCCTTTAAAACGCTACTCCTTCTACAGTTTTGCACACATTTCAATATAACTTGGCACACAAGTAGACTACACTAAGATACATAGAATAGTGCATCAGTTTCTGATTTCGATGAACGGTGTTGCCATGGTTACTAAAAATAGAATTTTCTGTGAAATTCCTTAAAAACACTACTCCTTCTACAGTTTTGGTCTGATTTCAATATAACTTGGCACACAAGTAGACTACACTAAGGTACATAGAATAGTGCATCGGTTTTTGATTTCGATGAACGTTGTTGCCATGGTTACTAAAAATAGAATTTTCTGTGAAATTCCTTTAAAACGCTACTCCTTCTACAGTTTTGGTCTGATTTCAATATAACTTGGCACACAAGTAGACTACACAAAGATACATAGAATAGTGCATCGGTTTTTAATTTTGATGAACGGTGTTGCCATGGTTACTAAAAATAGAATTTTCTGTGAAATTCCTTAAAAACGCTACTCCTTCTACAGTTTTGGTCTGATTTCAATATAACTTGGCACACAAGTAGACTACACAAAGATACATAGAATAGTGCATCGGTTTTTAATTTTGATGAACGGTGTTGCCATGGTTACTAAAAATAGAATTTTCTGTGAAATTCTTTAAAAACGCTACTCCTTCTACAGTTTTGGTCTGATTTCAATATAACTTGGCACACAAGTAGACTACACTAAGATACATAGAATAGTGCATCAGTTTTTGATTTCGATGAACGTTGTTGCCATGGTTACTAAAAATATAATTTTCTGTGAAATTCCTTTAAAACGCTACTCCTTCTACAGTTTTGGTCTGATTTCAATATAACTTGGCACACAAGTAGACTACACTAAGATACATAGAATAGTGCATCGGTTTTTGATTTCGATGAACGGTGTTGCCATGGTTACTAAAAATCGAATTTTCTGTGAAATTCCTTAAAAACGCTACTCCTTCTACAGTTTTGGTCTGATTTCAATATAACTTGGCACACAAGTAGACTACACAAAGATACATAGAATAGTGCATCGGTTTTTAATTTTGATGAACGGTGTTGCCATGGTTACTAAAAATAGAATTTTCTGTGAAATTCTTTAAAAACGCTACTCCTTCTACAGTTTTGGTCTGATTTCAATATAACTTGGCACACAAGTAGACTACACTAAGATACATAGAATAGTGCATCTGTTTCTGATTTCGATTAACGGTATTACCATGGTTACTAAAAATAGAATTTTCTGTGAAATTCCTTTAAAAACGCTACTCCTTCTACAGTTCTAGTTTGATTTCAAAATAAGTTGGCACACAAGTAGACTACACAAAGATACATAAAATAGTGCAATGGTTTTTGATAAGTACAAACCAGTAGAGCTACAGTCTCGACAGAGACTTCTGGTTAGTATTACTTTATCTCATTTGTATTGTTTTAGGGACTTTTGAGCTTGAATACTGCTTGTTATCTCATATATTTCATTGTATACTGTAAACCACTTTCAGTATGTAGTTGTTGCCACAAAACACCTTGTTCTGAGACAGTGGAGCTGGAAAGATCAGGTGCTGGTCAGGTCATGGAAGGTCAGTATAGGTCATTATAGGTCACAAGAGGTCAATGTACCAGATTGGATTCAAACTAGTTGTACCCATTTGGCTCTTAGATGTCATAAACCTTTGGGTTTTTTTATTGTTTAAAGAAATTGTTTATAAAAGTACATTCTTAGTAAGATTCTTGCAATATTTAAACAGATGACTGAGATTTAGTTATGTTAAAACTGAATCATTTTTTTGGCAAAAGTATTAAATGGGAGAATTGCAATAGTCATACAGAATCTAATATTGCAGCCTCTTGCATATGTTAAGGCAGAATGGTAGAACAACTGTCAGTTGTTATGGGGTCTTATGATATTTGATTCTATTTGTTTTATTTGTTTTTCAGGCTATTCATATATCCCCTGTCCTGGCCATGGACTTTGATGTATCCTCCACATTGTTAGCAACAGGAAGTTCTGACACAACCATTAAACTGTGGGATATTGACAAACAGTACTGTACACACAACCTCAAAGGTCACACTGGGGTTATAAGGTAAGAGGTCAATGTAAAGCGCTTTTTATAGATTAATTCTTCCTTTGGGCTGCATTCAAGATCCTATCAGATGAAATTGTTTTAATTAGACACCGCAAGGTGTAATGATGAAGAAATAATGACTATTATTGAAATAAGAAAGCAAGTAAAGATTTTGCTCTATGATGTTAACATGTGATTCCTGTCTTGACCAGCCTGGTGAAGTTTCACCCTGACAATGAGAAGCTACAGCTGTTCTCGGCCGGTGATGATTACAAGGTCAAGGTCTGGGATCTGAAGACAAGCAAATGTCTGGTGACGGTAGAGGCCCACTTCAGTGTTGTCACCAGCATGGTCTTCTCACCAGATGGCACCACTATGTACAGGTAATATTATTAAAATGCAAATTATCCCACGTTTCCAATTATGGTTGATACCCTGGCATGCCTTACAAAGTGGACAGTGATTCCAAATATCCTTGGAATTAGTTTACACTTTTTTACAAACCGCTTTGCATTTTATATGTTATGTAAATCGCCTCTTTCCTGATTATACAGTATAGCTTGATTAGCTATTACCGTATAATCCCTATTAACCGCCCCGGGCACTTAGAAAATTGCGAAAAGGGGGCGGTTATTTTGGTATTCTCTTTGTAATATTTAATATCATATCTTAACTTCAAAAAATATTTTGAAAAAAAAATAAATTCAAAGAATCTCTAAAATAATGCCTAACTTTACTTTAAATGAAGATAATCCACCCAATTATGCAAAATGTATCATTTTCCAATGAGAAATTAGATAATAAACAATTTTCATTTTCACTTCCTTTAAATTTTGACAGACTTTTGATACGATTCTAGATAATTTTAATCACTGTACAGGGGGCCCTTATTTCCTGACAATTGATAAAGACCTAAGCGAGCACTTATATAGGCAGGGGCTGTTAATAGGGATTATACAGTAATTAAATTCATTCCTTTATAATTAAATGATATATATGAAGGTTGGTGCTAAAACAGAATTCTGTAATTGGTATTTCCACAGCGGAGGTAGGGATCGTATAATTTCTGTGTGGAACTTGGAGGAACTGAAAGTTACGAAGACCATACCAGTCTTTGAGGTAGGTTTTGATGCTTACAATGTACAGGACTTGTATTAAAGCATTTTAAAGAGTTTGGGAGTGTTCTGATGAAAGTTTATATAGTAGTCACTGTAAAGTATTTAATGTCAGTGTGATTTATGTTGGGGATCATGTTGATGTCTGACAGCTGTAATTAAGAGAGCGTGTTGATGTAGACATGTATCGTGGAGAAAATTAAATGTCAGCATGTATAATGGAGAATGTTTTGATGTCAACAAAAAGTTTTATCAAAAGTGTTTAATGTGAAGATTTTGCTTGACATAGAGTCTTTTATGTGAATGTGGACATGAGACTTGTACACTACTATTTGACCATGAGTGTTTTAATGTCAGCAGTGTATCCACTTTTATTGTCATAATATTTATTAGATTGTTAAAAATTTTGTCAAAGTATTGATTGGATCTCATCTTATAATGTCAGTATCATGTTTATTGTAGAGTGTTGAGGCAGTTATCTTGCTTCCACCAGAAAGAGAGTTTCCTGACCTTGAAGTCACAGACTCGGGAGTTCCACACATCATCACAGCCGGCAGCAAAGGTCAGATACTAAAACAAAAATTTTCATTCCTTTCTTTATATATTCATTTATAGGTGTTTTAGGTTAAAGCAGAGACATTAATTTTGTTTAAAATACTCACTGTTTTTCAACTATTCTTAGATGAACAGGTACTTCTAAAAAAATACTAGTAAGAATATTCAAAATCTTTACGATAAGGAAGTCACCAGGATATCACATTTTACTACCTTGTAACAGTGATTATTTCTGTAAATTAAGCATAGTTAAAAGTTGCCAAGAGGACTCATAAAAATTCTTTGTAACAAGAATTCCTTATAAATGGGTTCTTCATAATCAAGTTGTACTGTAGTTAGATATTTGCTATTATTCAGGGACTTTGCGAGTTTGGGATATTGAGAAGTCCAAGTGTGTACATGTAAGGAAGGAACTGATTGGCCGAGCAGTAAACAGTGACCAGGATGATCAGAACATTACACAGGCACTGTACAACGATGCCTTACAGAGTGTTGCCGTGGTTACTTTTGACAACAATATCACATTATGTAACCTAGAGGACCTGTCTGTCAAGAAACAGGTCTGTTTGAACTTTAAGACAAAAAACTTTAAGAAAAAAAACTCTTCACAGAAATTCTTAAATTAATGTTAATCTTTTTGTACTTTTCCAAAATAGGGTGTAAATATAAATTGTTTCAACTCCAGAAACATTTCTTCAATTAATGTTTGTAAACTGAGATTTATTTCAATTTTCAGTTTTGTGGTAACACAGACCAGGTGTTGGACGTCCAGTTCCTGGGAACCAAAGACACTCACCTTGCGGTGGCCACAAACAGCGAGCACCTGAAGGTGTTTGAGATTTCCTCCTGGAACTGTCAGCTGTGCTCGGGCCACACGGACATCATCCTGGGGGTCACGGTTAACAGGAGGAAAAACCTGCTGGCCACCTGCTCCAAGGTAGCTTTATACAATTATTGACTTTTGATAAGGTCTACTCGTGACTATACAGACCTGGTCAGGTATTGGTTGACCGAGGCCGAAGGCCAAGGTTAACAATACCTGACCATGTCTGTATAGTCACGAGTAGACCGAATTCAAAAGTCAATAATCGTTTTATTAAATGATCATGAATTTTATGTCACAGGGTGAATAAATTCATATTATGATATATACTATATAATTTATTTATAAATGATTTGTGACCTAATCTACTAATCATTTCATTACCATCATCATCATTTTCACCTATACAGCATAGTAAATTACAGTCCTTTGGAATTTACTATGTGTTAAGCTAGTTCATTCATGAAGTCATTCATTGATATTCATGGGGTTGAATGCTCATTGGTTGGTTTGGGAGTGTGAAAGGTCAAAGGTGTTTGTGTCAGAATGGGTGCGGCTTGAAGGTGTGTGATTGGTTGATATTTTAGTGTGAGAAGTGTGTGAGTGGTTTTACTAGTTTGGAACCAAATACACATGCTTGGTGCCAAACACTGTTAATAATTCACTCCACCCTAAGACAGTCAGGAGGAAGGAAGAGTGTATCTCCTCTCCATATATAAAGTCCATCATTTAATTAATGAAGACAACTTTATACCTGTCTAGTTGGTAAGAATTAATTTACCACCATTGCTTTGAATAAGTTAAATACCTTATCAATTAATTAAACAGAATTGAATCAGAACAGTTAAAGTATTCTAAATTGATTCAATGTGTGAGTGTTAGTGTATGAGTGTATTCATTTATTTTACAGGTCACCGTAATTGTTCTTCTAATTGTTATTATATTCATCTTGTAAAGAAATTGAAGCAGAAATGCAAATGAACCCACCAGCCGTGTTGTTGTTTATTGATGGAATTATAAATATACCGGTATTGCGGCTGTGACATTTACAACACTTTTGACACTTTCAATCTTGTCTCCATCAAAAATAAACACCTATAATATAATTGTCATGACTTATCTAATTAACAACTAGTAGTTAAATATTGAAAACAATATTATCAAACAATAAATACTCAACCATTTACTTTCAAAAGCGTTTAATCTCCTTAGTACGGGTGTCTGACATGTTTACATTCACACCAACACATGTTTTGAAACACGCAATCCGATTGGTAAAAAAAACTGTAAGCAAATCTACGGTTGGTCAAGAGGGAAAATCTGAATAAACCTCATATGAGGTGAACTCACTCTGAGGTACATCTCAGGAAAAGGCATCTAAACCAATCAGAGAGCACCAAAATTCCTGATCATTTAATAAAATTAGATACATGTATGTCACTAACACCAGAATACTGTCAATTCAAACTTTAATTTAGATTACATGGTTAATTTAAAGTAATTTTTATATAGATATGCATGTATTTTATAGGGGTGTATTTTAAGAACAGGCTGTTTTGGGTCTCAGAAATCTATAGATAGTTATAAAATGATAGAAGTTTATATTAAAGGTGCTTGTAAACAGGATCTCTGGAATATCTTTGATTGTTTTGCTTACAGGATAACACAGTGAGGGTGTGGAGATTTGACCCAGAATCTGGACAGGTCACCTGTGTAGGGGTGGGCCATGGACACACACATATTGTGAGCACTGTAGCAATGGCAAGGTATGTTAATGTGTAACATGCATGTGTAAAGCTTTAGGTTACATTGGTGATCCTTCTTTATACAAACTGAGTATTGTTCATTGAATAATATTCTACTTGCAGTGCATCAGCTGGCTGGATCGTAAGTGGGGGACAAGATTTTACCCTGAAGAAGTGGAAGCTCCCCCCATCACTGGAGGGACCCTGTACTGATCTGAAGTGTACTCACACAGAGAGAGTCCACGAAAAAGACATAAACTGTGTGGTGGTGTCCCCTAACGACAGATACATAGCAACAGGGTCACATGACAGAACTGCCAAGGTCAGGTCATCTATTGACTCTACTCCATCTTGAGGTCTGTTCTTTTTGTAGTGAACTGTACCACATTTGTGTGTAACTTTGGTCTTTTTACAGCTATGGGATGCTGAATCCTTTGCTTTAGTTGGCGTAATGAGGGGCCACAAAAGGGGAATTTGGTGTGTCCAGTTTTCACCTGTAGACCAGGTAAGGAAGTCAATCAATTTTGTAATGTTCTTTTTATCTTTGAAGGTTAATATCAAAGAATAAACCTAATATTTGATTGTTTATCTTAATTTTGTTAATATTCTTACTTTATTGGGTTTTTTTCAGTGCATTGCTACTTCTTCAGGGGATGGAACCATTAAAATCTGGTCTATACAGGGCTTGGAGTGTGTTAAGGTGAGATGAAAGTAGATGACATTATCATTTATGATAACCTTGTCAGACATATTTATTTGTTTTATGTAGGCAGCAATAGTCAGTGTACTTGTTATTTTAGACATTTGAGGGACATGACAGTGCCGTGCTGAGGGTGACATTCATCAACAGAGGAATGCAGCTTCTCTCCTGGTATGTCTGACTGAGTCCCTGAAGAAATCTAGATTCTAAGTGAATCAATTTCTATTGAAACTCGCACATACATTGTAGTACTGTAAGTGATTTTTATAAGTTAAATAAGGTAAAAATTGGAAGCAGAGAATCATTAACTTAAAACTTACATGTATATGTTCTTTTCCTTTTGAGACTTTTCCCTATAATTTTGTCCTTGTTTTGAGAATTTTCCTGTAATTTTGTTGTACCTTGCTTTTAGGCATTTCCCTATGAGTTTATGTCTTGTTTAATAATGGGAGGCACTCATTTTGTACCTTGTCTTCCAGTGGCTCTGATGGCCTAATGAAGATCTGGGTCATTAAAACCAGCACCTGTGTCTCCACAGTGGATGAACATGAGGATAAAATCTGGTCCATCACAGTCAATAGAGAGGAGGATCACGTCGTAACGGGGGGAGCAGACTCCAGTATCATCATATGGAAAGTGAGAAGCGTTGACCTATGAAATAACTTCGCTATATCTGTAATTCGTTATATCCATATAAGGAATACTTTAAATTTATATAGCTGGGTATCCAAGATAAATTCGCTATATCTGTGAATTTGCAATATCCATGTTCTTAATAAACGAGTTTTACTGTATTTATATTTCTCAACTTTTGATGGCTTGAGAACCGTACTTTTAATTTTACATAGTGTAAAATATCAATGCAGTGTAATGAAGACATCAATCTATCAGTATTTTTATTTATTTATTCAGATCCCAAACATTTACTTGACTTGGAATTTACAAAAAAAAAAAAGTTTATAAGTGGTATTTTTTAAATTTGATTGTGATACACAATTTTTCATCAACTTTTAGGATGTAACAGGAGAGGAGGTTCAGAAGAAACAGACAGAGAGAGAGGATTTCATACTCAAGTTAGTGTCACATACTACAGTCAAACCTGTCTATTCTCTACACTACTGCTTTCCTATGTATTGGCAGATTAGACATTCAAGATTGTTAACATTTTAATTAAATTTACTGAAAGGGCTTAAAATCTACATCTACAAGGCAAAATTTTGAAATACATGTACACAATATTTGGATTAGACAAGTTTCAAGGTATATTGTATATACTGTAAACAAACTTTTATTTGCATGCAGGAAGTATCTCTGAGTGTTACAATCTCCTTTTACACTCATGAATATTTATTGTCTCAAACTATTTATTTTGCATTGTAATAACCTTTTTAATTGCTTATGTTTATTATTATTCCTATTATTTTTCTTGCTATTTTTTTGACATTTATCGAAAAGACTTTTTGTTCATCGTAAAGGTCATTAAAAGTTGAACAAATTTGACCCAACGCATATGAACTATGACCGCTTTCAAAGTTACGCAAGAAATGCTTGTTTCGTCGGAAATAATCTAGAAGAATGAAACCTTCACCAATGTCTTCGACTACATGAAGGGACATCTGTTCATTGCGAAAGTATTCGGTGACCCCTTTAATGAGTTATACCTGAAAGTTTTTGAATTTTAAAAATAATTAAATATTTTCAAAACGAAAAGTCGTAGCGACATGGGACTAACTGCATTAGATTCATGACCTTTGATCTTAAAATTTATGTAAAGGTCAAAGGTCAAGGTCATTCCAAAATTGAGAAATTAAGCTCTTTTAATATCTTTTTTTGTCTTCTAACATATACAAACTGTCTTAGCATCATTATTAAACACTTTTAAAACTTTTTAAAGATTTAATTCGTTTCCCTTAAAATTGACTCTATTAAAAGTTATTGCCCTTTGTGCGAAAAACCTTGTTATTGCTTAATGAATGTAGAAATATGAAACCTTTAGTCTTCAAACAGTTGACTTCTTCGAGTTATTGCCCCTGAAACTTTGTAAATTTTACAAATAATGTAAACAAGCATCATAAGATTTATTTACCTTTCAGGTTAAAATTCATGTAAAGGTCAAAGGTCAAGGTCATTCCAAAATTGAGAAATTAAGCTCTTTTTATATCTTTTTTGTCTCTTAACATATACAAACTGTCTTAGCATAACTAATATGTACTCTTAAAACTATTTGAAAGATTCAATTCGTATTCCGTAAGATTGACCCTATTAAAAGTTATTGCCCTTTGTGTGGAAAACCTTGTTATCGCTACTACTAATCGTAAAAACAAAACAATTCGACTTATTGAGACATCCATTGTGAAAGTGGTTAACTACTTCAATTATTTTTAAAATCTCTAATTTTTAGAAATAATTAAAAATATAGGAATGAGCTCAACTGCATAAGATTCATTGACCTTTGAGCTTAAAATTCATGTAAAGGTCAAAGGTCAAGGTCATTCCAAAACTGAGAAATTTAGCTCTTTTTATATCTCTTCTGTCTTTCAACATATGCTTAATGTCTATGCATCATTAATATGTACTTTTAAAACTGTGTCTTAGATTTCATTCTCGTCCCTTAAGATTGACCCTATTAAAAATTATTGCCCCTTGTACGAAAAACATTTTTATTGCTATTGCTCCAAAACCGTAAACTGCAAAGACACGAAACCTTTTCTAATGTCTTATGGGACTTTAGGCAAAACTTTTATGTTCAAGTGCAAAAGGATCTGGTGACTCCTTGAATGAGTTACTGCCCTTAAATGCTTTTGTGCTTAATATTAAACCTTATAACTTTTAAACTATAAGACATAGAGACATGGGGTTAATTACAATGTGACCCTTGACCTTTGACCTTGAATATGACTTGAAGGTCAAAGGTCAAGGTCACCTAAAAAAAAAAATTCATTTTCATTTTTTTTCTTCTTTTAAGCCATTCCCTGGTTTCTTTTTTATGAAATTTAATTTTAGATAGATAGATATAAAATGAAATTGAAATTCAAAAGGTGGAAAGACCTCTTATTGTTCTGTGAACAATAAGTCTCCTAGTTGTAAAGAATATTTCCTCAGTTGTGAAAATTTATCATCATGAATCCATTTCAAACTGACGTATCGTGAATAAAAGATGATGGGTATAATAGTTGGTCTACAATATCAAAAGTTTTCTGTGGAATTAATGGCTGTAGAGAATCTGATATACATGTACGTGTATTTAACACTTGTACGGTACTTATTTGTAGAGAACAAGAGTTGAGTAATTTGCTCCATCAGAAGAAATATTTGAAAGCTATAGGTCTGGCCATCACCCTGGAACAACCATTTAGAGTTCTCAATATCATTAAAGGTATATATACAACAGATGTTACAAATCATTTGTAAAACAAATTACAGTAAATGTCCTATTTATGCAGTTCAAATTTGTTTTTAAAAATTCCATTTTATTATTTAGTATCCTGTGCCTTATTGTATGCAATATTTTTAAAGCAAAAAAATCTGACATCATTTAAAATCTTAATAATGACGGTGATTAAAAAAAAAAACAAATACCATGCTCAGTTTAAAAGTTGTGTTTTAGAAATTCTTTATAATCCAAATGGAAAAACAGAACTGGAGGCAACTCTTCAAAAACTCAGGCTTGATCAAATAGGTAAGAAGTGAAAATCCAAACCATGTGTACGAGTATAAATGTGTTACTTTATTCTAAGTATTTTGAATTTTTGAAGTTTTATGAAAGAATTTACCTTCATACATTGCTGTTAATTGTAATGAGACTAAAAAAAAACGGTGTTTATTTGCAGGTACAGCTAAAAATATATTTCATGATTGATTTTTAAATGTACATGTATACCATTTTGAAATAGTTGTTTTGGCATTGAGTGACCACAAATGCCACCGAAACTTTGTTTTGAACAATCTTTCCACTATACATGTATATCTTGTAAATGTATAACTGTACAATGTGGTCTTGATTTAAAATGCTCTTCTGGCTGCGTACATGTAAAATGCACATTTACGCTACAGCCCATATGACAAGATCTTTACTTTTATTACCAGATTCAGTTTTGCGGTTTGCCAGTGAATGGAATACAAACAGCAGACATTGTCGTGAGGCTCAGTTTGTCCTTAACACAGTGCTGAGGACATATCCCCCCGAGGAAATCCTCAAGTTCTCTAACATCAAGTCAACCATGGAAGCCCTCATACCATACACAGGTAATACACTGTTTGATGAAAATGTTAATTCTGCTTTGTTGATGATACTTGAATTCTACTAAGAAATTTTGTTTTGTTTTCCCTTGATTTTTAATTTGAAATGCTCAACATTTACCAAGATTTTAGATTAAATTCACTTTGTTTCTAAATAATTCAAATTTAATAATAAAAAATGTAACAAATTACATCTACATGACTATAAAATATTTCAAATATAATTCCTAAAATTTGAAAAGGCAGCAAAGCATTAGTATTGGGCAGATCTTTGTTAATTCCCAGTTATTAAATTAAATGTTTTGTTTGACAGAGCGCCACTTCCAGAGGATGAACCGTCTTTTACAGCAGGCCATGTTCCTAGAGTTCACCTGGGGATGTATGCGGCGAGCCACGGATAAAGCAGGGTCAGTAACTGAGGCAGTAACACAGTCAATACCACTGTCAGTACCTAACTTATACTTGAGGCAATACCCCATTCAGTAATTAAGTCAGTATCATAGTCAGAAGTTGAGTCAATACCACAGTCAGTAATTAAGTCAATACCACAGTCAGTAATTAAGTCAATACCACAGTCAGTAATTAAGTCAATACCACAATCAATAATTAAGTCAATACCACAGTCAGTAATTAATTCAATACCACAGTCAATAATTAAGTCAATACCACAGTCAGTAATTAAGTCAATACCACAGTCAGTAATTAAGTCAATACCACAGTCAGTAATTAAGTCAATACCACAGTCAATAATTAAGTCAATACCACAGTCAGTAATTAAGTCAATACCACAGTCAGTAATTAAGTCAATACCACAGTCAGTAATTAAGTCAATACCACAGACAGTAATTAAGTTAATACCACATTCAGTAATTAAGTCAAACCACAGTCAGTAATTAAGTCAATACCACAGTCAATAATTAAGTCAATACCACAGTCAATAATTAAGTCAATACCACAGTCAGTAATTAAGTCAATACCACAGTCAGTAATTAAGTCAATACCACAGACAGTAATTAAGTCAATACCACAGTCAGTAATTAAGTCAATACCACAGACAGTAATTAAGTCAATACCCCATTCAGTAATTAAGTCAGTATCATAGTCAGAAGTTGAGTCAATACCACAGTCAGTTATTAAGGCAATATCACAGTCAGTAATCAATTCAATATCATAGTCAGTGTTTAAGTAAAATTTGATTAAGTTCAGTGTATATCAATGATTTTATTGTAGGCCATTGGAGGTTTCACAACAAATGACATCAGAAGGACAAGAACAGGTCACCCAGTCTGTACAGATGTCAGAGGTGGAGAAGGGAGGTAACTCATCCTCTGAGAGTGACTTGGAGAGTGATAAATCAGACTCCGGTAATTCTGGAGAGAATTCAAGTGATAAAAAGGATTCAGAAGGGGAATCTATGGAGGAGGAAGTCAAAGGAACTAGTGATTCAAACAGTTGTGAGTCGGACATTGAGAATAAGAGACCATTAACTCTGATGACTGAGCCACAGGGGGCTGACAAGTCCGCCCAGAAAAGGGCGGAGTCACAGGTGACTGACACATCATCGGTGAACAGGGTGGAGTCTAATACAGCTTCATCAGGGGACTCAGATTCTGAAGAGTCCTCAGAATCCAGTCTGGACGACCCTCCAGTATCAACCAATCAAACTCCAAAGGTGAGCTTTACACAGTAAAACACAATTACAATGAAGTGCCAGAGTTTTGCTTTGTAATAAAAAAGAAACATATCACCTTCACAGAAAATCATATTAACTAAGCACCTTGTGTTCAGTCAGTATGCTTTTCGCTGAAGTCAATATTTCCAGAGATAGACCTTATAAAAGGAGTATATTTGCAATCATACACTTGTGAACATTTTATAGCGATTTTTATAACATACTCGAAATCATGTGTTTGAATCTCTTTTCAGGGAGACAGTAGTTTAGCCCAAGAGAAACTCATAGTCAAAACAAGGATGAGAGGATCAAAGCAGATAAACAGTGCAGAACAGAAGACAACAGAGGATGTCCAGCCAACCGTGAAGGTCAGATCCAGTAGGAAGAGGTCACAGCAGGTGGAGCATGACGAAGAGGAACAAACTAGACAGAAGTGTGTGAAGAAATCAGTGAGGGGACAGAGAACCAGTCAAACTGAGAAAACCAAGCCTGTAACAAACAGTGTCAAAAAGTTAAAACAACCACTTACAAGGTCCAAAGTACTAAAACAAAAGGGAAGATAACTGAACTGAAATTGATTTTATTTTTATCATAATTTAATAAACTAGTACATTCACCATGATATGAATTCTTTTTTAAACATAAAGAAAAAAAAACCTGTATAGTACTGAGTATTTTTTTATGCTTCAACCACAAATTAAATTCCCTCAGTCCAATGTTTTTCATCAAAGCACAAAGGTTTTACCCAACGAAAAGAAAAAGAAACATTCAAGACAGACAAGGCAAAGATTATTATTTGTATATTTTTTCAAGCAGTAGTGTTTAGAAACTAATAGAGGTGAGACAAAGTATGACCTTTGACATGTATTTTTAAAAAGTTTTAAAGAAATCTAGTTTCAGAAGCAACTGAAGACCTTATCTCCTTCTACCAACAAATTAATTCATTAAAATATATGTGTGTATATTACCAAAGCAAGTTCCACTGTACATGGTAATGGGTTCATGTATAAAACAAACAATGTAAAAGTTGATTAAATTTGTTAAGTTTGTTAATGTATACACTCAAAAATAAAAATACATCTATTACTTTTGTCTTTGTTACTGATTTTGCATCTGTCAGCAGTTTTAGTTACAAGCAGAGAAGCACTCAGACAAATGTCTTATCCAGTTTCTCGATCTCTCATGAACTCTGATAAAGATATGGTCAGAGAAGATATCTGCACCAATAATAAAAGAATTGAGATTTGACTGGATACCAGTAATTCATGTAAATATTGAAATCATTTTACTTAGTTCAACCAACCAAGCATTTTTAACTCCTCAGTGGGATATTATGAGGGATTTTTGCTGAAGTCAGGATGAAGATGCTAAATGGCTTCAGATGTACTGGATATTCCCTACCCATTGAAGTCTGACACAAATGCAGACAAACATGATCTACATGCATATTAGGCCTTCTTAGCTCTTGACCTTTCCCTTGGCAAAATTTACATTTAGTTTAGAATTAACACTACCCAAGGATGCTTTTACATTAGTTTCACCTTTTCTGGCCCAGTGGTTCTTGGGAAGGAAGATTTTTAAATGACTCCACCCTATTTTGTCTTTTCTTGATTATCTCCCATTGCAAGGGGACTTGGCCTTTCATTTTAACAATTTAAATCCTCTTCGTTTTCGGCTGCTTTGTACCAAGTTTGGTTAAAGTCGGCCAAGTAGTTTTTGGGAAGTTAGAAATGTGACAATTGGTGATCAGAAAAGCTCACTTGACCTCTCAGCTCAGGTTAGCTATAAATAAGCTCTATGGTTTTTCCAGTGACAAAGTAAACATTAGGCAATAAACCATACAAGAGGCCCTTAGGTCACATTGCTAACCTGAGTAACTGGCCAGGCTGTTCTTTACTAGCTCCCCCCCATGTAATACCTATTGTGACACCACCCTACCCCCTGGGGTCATGATTTTGACAATTTAGAATCTACACTATCCCAGGATGCTTCAACATAAGTTTCAGCTTTTCTGGCCCAGTGGTTCTTGAGAAAACGATTTTTAAAAGATTTTTCCTATAAATTTCAATGTAAAACTTGGATTCCCTATTACGGCCCAGCCCTACCCATGGGGTCATGATTTTTACAATTTAGAATCTACACTATCCCAGGATGCTTCCATGTAAACTTCAGCTTTTCTGGCCCAGTGGTTTTTGAGAAGATGCTTTAATGACCCCACCCTATTTTGTCTTTTCTTGGTTATCTCCCATTGTTAGGGGACTTGGCTCTTCATTTTTACAAGTTAAACATTCCTTCACCCATGGATGCTTTGTACCAAGTCTAGTTGAAATTGGCCCTGTGGTTCTTGAGAAGAAGTTGAAAATGTTAGAAGTTTACAGATAGATGGACAATGGGTAATCAGAAAAACTCACTTTAGCTTTCAACTCCAGTGAGTTAAAATCTATGTGTTGCTATTGAATTGTAAACAATGTAGATCGTCATGCTTTGGAACTCATTCAACTGATTGGAGAACAAGTGTAACAAAACATCTTGTGCTGAAAATTGTCTTCATATGAAGTAGTGTACCCGACCCATTGAACAATCAAAGAGTTCAAGAAATACTGATTTTAAACAAGGTTGTTGATGTCCCTGTGACATCAACTAGACTGTCAGTGCCAACCTCAGTTTGAAACCTTACTCAATAAGTTATGCAAGCATTAAACGTTAAAATGATAAGGGAAAAAAACTTTGTAAAAAATTTAATTTATTGTTGCTTTATAAATTTAAGCAATGTATAAAACAAAACAAAACAAACACTTAAATTCTTCCAGAAATAAAAATATCTCTCACACCAATACACACATCTCTTTAAACTAGGGCTGTATCAATATATCGATATATCGATACCTATCGATATTCAAGAAAAATATTGTATCGAAAAATAACCTCCAATACGTATCGGACAGATAGTTTTTCTTCTAATTCTGTTAAAAAGATGGGAATTTCAATCACAAAAGATTATATTTCCCTTTTTTGAAATAAAACTGTTCAATAATTATATAATTTTTAAGGAAAAAACACATGATAATTGTTACAAAATACAAAGAGAATTTTACTTGAACATGTTGAATTTACTGTCATTAAAAGTTTTAATTTAAAGTGTTATTGGTAATGTCAACAAGACAAGAACTTTAAAATGGGTTATAAAACACTTTATTGCTATGAAGTTTTTGCATAAAAAAATGGTTTATAAGCCTTTTCTGATGGACTTGTTTTAGAATCCAATATATTGCATATTGCTTAAAAAAATATTGTATCGTATCGTATCGAAAATTTTGGCTCAATACACAGCCCTACTTTAAACACACTCATAAACATTTTGTTAAGTATAAATATGTTGTTCAATAACATTTACAGTACAGACAAAGTTATTACAAAATGATGCAATAAATAATGAAGGTTCTCACATTTTGTTCCTTTTCCTTTATGTTTTGATCACTCAATAAATAAACAACAACAAGTTAAGTCTTGGATCACTTTAAAGCTTCAATACTGATCCAAATAAAAATAATTTTAAAGTTCTAGAAATCACAGAATTATGTTACTATAGACTTGTGTATCATAAAGCGGTCATTGTCTGTGCCTCTTCACACAGACTCCGTAACCGTGGTGACAGTTTCTGGTGAGTTGAACAGTTCATACCAACTACTCCGGCTAGATCACACATCTACAAAGGGAACATTGGAAACTTCAATGTCAAACTTTTAATGTACATGTATGTGTTACATGATTAAACTATGCATGTTATAGAGTTGACCCGTTACAAGTAATATAATTTTTTTTTTAATTTTGATAAAATGCTGTCAAGACTTAATTCTGAAAATAAATATTATTGCTATAAATACTTATAATCATTCATCTAAATTCATGTTTGTTTTGAAATTCATGCAATATTGTTTCCTCATGAACTTTAAGATCTGGCTACATTTTTAGCAGTATACTGTATACAGGGTTATTTTCGCCCCGTCTTATTTTCGCCTTTTTGCACTTGCAAACAGTTTTGCCCCGTTTTAAATTCGCCCAGTCACAGTTCTGTTCAAGAAATTATGTTGTGTAATTTAAATTCGCCCCGTTTTGAATTTGCCCAAAAAAGAAGAGGGCGAAATGGGCGAAAATAAAACGGGGGCGAAAATTTCCCTGTATACAGTAGCTACTCTGCCCACCTCTTCATTGGTCCTCATTAGCTGTAAGAGACTCATCATCAGGTTGTATGCTGAAACAAGAATAAAGCAGGTACACTTCAAATACAGTCAGGACACAATGCTACAGCTCCAACATAGGAGGATGAGCAAACTTCATACTTGTAAACAAGTGATAGTCATTTACAAATTCATTTCCAGTGTACAACCTTTAGATTTCTATACAAATTCAATGTACTACCGGTAGTTTCTGGGACTTCTTTTTGTAGACATTCTAAGATGGCACTCCCCAACTCTACCTGGGCATCCTCAGGTAACTAGAAAGGTAGAATACAGGTGTACAAGTAAGATAAAATAAACACAAAGTATATTAGACACCTGGGCATCCTCAGGTAAAATACAGGTACAAATTAGAATTGCATGCTATCTGCTGATGTTGTGTTAAAGGATATTATCTGATATCTGCTAAGGTTATGTAAGGGATATTATACAATTATGAACTTCAGTGTAGGTCGATATGTGGTTATATGTGGTGATAGAAGACACAGAAAGTGATAGCGACCGAGCCTGCGAGGTCGCTATCATTTTTTGTGTCTGAGGTCAATATCAATTGGCATGAGTCCTTATAACCACTTATTGACCATTCACTGAAGTCCATAATATTTATATTATATAATCACTCAAAGTGAATGCACTGACACAGTCCTAACTAAACAGACTTGGCTGTCATTATGTCTCAATGGTTAAAATCACACTTCTTATATTATGACGTCACGTACTACGTACGGGTAACTTTAGTGCAACCGAACGGCGTGTCGTGCGATATCATTTTCCGTGGACACACTTTCGCATCGATATCACAAAAGGAGGAATATCACGTGACGAACTTTCAGCCAATGAAAACTACAAAATTATTTTTATCATAATATTACCTGATATCTGCTACAGTTATGTTAGGGATATTACCTGATATCTGCTGATGTTGAGTTGTAGATATTATATGATATCTGCTGATGTTATGTTAGGGATATCATCTAATATCTGCTGATGTTGTGTTGGAGATATCATCTGAGATCTTCTGATGTTGTGTTAGGGATATTATCTGATATCTGCTGAGGTTGTGTTGGAGATATTAACTGATATCTCCTGATGTTGTGTTAGGGATATCATTTAATATCTGCTGATGTTATGTTAGGGATATCATCTAATATCTGCTGATGTTGTGTTGGAGATATCATCTGAGATCTTCTGATGTTGTGTTAGGGATTTTATCTGATACCAGCTGAGGTTGTGTTAGGGATATTACCTGATATCTGCTGATGTTATATTAGGGTTATTATCTGATATCTGCTGATGTTGTGTTAGGGTTATTATCTGATATCTGCTGATGTTGTGTTAGGGTTATTATCTGATATCTGCTGATGTTGTGTAAGATGACATTATCTGATATCTGCTGATGTTGTGTTAGGGATATTACCTGATATCTGCTGAGGTTGTGTTTGGGACATTACTTGATATCTGTTGATGTTGTGTCAGTGATTGGGAAGGGCTTGCGCCACGCGCCATAGTCGCATTGAAGAGAAAAATGGCGCATTAAATCAATCAATCATGGCGCCAAGGTGTGCATTCAATTTTTAGCGATGTTATTAAGAAATATTTCGTGTACAACTTTCTTTCTTGTTTTACTTTCGTTTTAAATGCACGTCAACTTAAAACTACAAATCTCATTGGTTGAAACCTGTCAAAAAGTACTTCCTGTTAAACGCAGCACTTACATGAGGTACAATACTTCATTCATTTGTATGGTAGGGCTGTTCCCTTTCCAAAACTCGTAATTTTAACACAAAATACGGGTCAGTTATATTTTAAGAAAGTTCCTTTAAATTTACTGCATTTCATGCGTTAAAAATCGGATTCGGTTAATCAAAAACGTGTTTTCTCTCGTATTTCATATTTGTTTGTCACTTTGATATCTCTTAAAATGGCCCTTCAGATTATATTGATGGCCCATTCATTTTCGAAATGGCCCATCAAAAATGTTGACAGTTACGCCATAGTCCCATTGACCATTTTGGCCTTCCCAATCACTGGTTGTGTTAGGGGATGTTACCTGATATCTGCTGAGGTTGTAGACAAGAGCTGAGGCTTTGCTGTAGATATCCTGGTTGTCATGGAGTAGGGCCCAGACACACACCTCTGGACACAGAAGCTTGATATTACTCTGTTCTCCCCCTGCACTGTCCGTCAGAAACCTGTGCCCCATCTGATGACTGCAGCAATTTGTTAACTAGTCACATAAAGACAGAATCTCAATTTGTTACATGTACCTATAAACTTAGGAAGTGCTTTGGGTTCATGAATGTTATAGACAAGATTACAAGTACTGCATATTGGGTATTTTCTGGGTATCACACACCTGTACATGTTCCTCATCCAACACTTACCTCATCTGTACAATTGCCATTTTAATAGACACACATTACACAGTTACAATCTATTATAAACATCCTGCACACTTACCACTTTAAGCAGTGACATCTGTACACTATCAGTCAGCTCCTTGTAATGTATTAACACACTGTTCATTAACTTGGTGGGCTCGTTTTGTAACAGTTCTACAAAGTCTTCTATGAGAACCAGTTCCTGCAGTAGCACACATATCTCTCCCCTGAGTTTGTCCCCCATGCGGCCGTCCCCGATCACCTTGTGGAGGGTCTGGACATGCTCCTTACACAAGGACCATGTGGGTGCAGCTGTACCCAGATAGTCATAAATGTCCGACACGAGACTAACTTCCTTTGGTGAGACTTTGTCATGAACATCATCTAAAAGGGGTTTCTTTGAGGGTCTTTCCTGTAATTTTAATTTTTTACATTTGAAATACAAACTGCATGCAAATCACAGTTGAAAAAATGAATAAAGGCAAGCAAACTGAAATTCTAGAGGTCTGTTTTCAACAGAGATAACCATTTCTGAATACAAAATTCAGGGTATTAAATATTTCAGTGTAGTGTGTTACCTCTCTGTATATGATAGGTTCCATTTCTCTAGTTTCTGTTTCGCTCTCCACATTGAAGTTTACAGGAGACTCGGACCCCTGTGAGGCGGGGGGTGTCTGGCTGGTGGCTCCCCTAGGACCCTCCGAGGGAACCTCGGAGCTTGCCTGTTGTCCAGAGGAACTAGAAGTCTTAGAAGCTGTACTGGACCCTTGTTTATTGTGGGACTGGGTCAGGAATGTGTTACTTGGTGGGATGTTTGGAGCCATGGCAGGATTCCCGGCAGGGAAAAGGGCGTGTCCACCGCTAGGGTTCACATAGACAGGGCTTAGCATCTATCCAAAAATTATGAGAAAATAATTAAAAGGCTTAACAGTGGTTGCATCTGTCCAAGATTTATAGAATTTAAAGGTCTGTTACAAAAACCCTTATAAAAATAGTCATAAAAGTCCTTCAATAAAAAAGAGGTTTTCAGGGAGGAAGTTGATAAGGCTTTTGTTAACAGGAAGTGGTTGTTGTTTCAGTTGATATCAAGATATGATATATGAGGGTTGATACAAAAGTAATGTCACTGCGTCCATATCTTTAATATTTGGCGTCATATTATCAAATAAAATGCACCAAAAGATGCAGAAAAATAAATCTAATCAAAATTGAAAATTTCATTTAATAATTAATGTATAATTGAATTTAAGTCACGTTTTAATGTGTAAATTGTTAGAATAAAAAAAGACAAATACATTTAAAACGCATCTTAAAAAGCGTCTAATCGCCCAATGTTTTAAAAAACACAAAATTGATGACAATTGATAGCCTTTAGTTCAAAATTAAATGGCGGCATTGTTTTTTTTATCATAAACATTGTTGTTTATATCTGATGTATTGAGGAAAGAAAATGTCGAAATGGAATAAAACGCCGAAATGAGTTGTAATGCGTTTTTCCTTCAAAATTGGGAAATCGCCAGTAGAGACAGTTACGATGGTAAATCAGACTCGCAGAGGAAAGAATGTTAAAAAAGAGACTTGTTCATAGATGGTTTCAGAGATTTTGGGCGGGTCATGGGTAATAAAATAATCAGCTGAGGACATAAAGACCGAAAGATACGAGGTCGGGTGGAAATGTTCAATGACGTCGACGTTGTCAAAAAAAAGATTCGTGTCACGTGGTTTGAGTGATATGAGAAACGTTTAAATTTGTCTTATGGTACTGTTCAAAGAATTTTGATGAAGAACTAAACTACAGATAGAGTGTACAATTGGTGCCACTAATTCTTAAATAAAGTAAAATATTTGAATGTGTTTGTGAATATTTTTTGGGGAAGCGTTAAAAGTTTCGTATATCCGTCATAATTTACCATAATTGCACTTTGTATATAATTCGATATTTTGAAAAGTATGAATTATTTCAATTTGAATTTTTCAGGACTGATTTGAAATAAATATAGCTTTTATCAATATGCAATATATTGACATTACTTTTGGATCAACCCTCGTATTAATTAGACAGTATTCACTTTCCTTATAGATCTTTGTTAATAACATATCTTACGTGCTGAGGACCTCGGCTGGCAATCCAGTGATGTATGATGGGATATCATTGCCCGTCAGGAATTGGGCCACCTCCGAACTAAAGGTATTACAGTTGTGGTCCAGGAGATGATAACAGCTGGGTCTGTAAAACACAATATCAACCTCAGTTAGGGATGTCAAATCAGTCAATATTTGATAATCGGTTACTCGGACATTTCTCCGATCAAGTACCCGGGTACTCGGTAAAAATAGTGAATACAAGTTTTTCTTACTTTTCATAAGCCTAGTTAAGGTCAAGATCTAGTAAATGAAAGATGCTTACAGATTTATCAAATTTGAGAAATAAACTCCTTTAGTTATGCCTTATAACTTTAGCTTGGTGAAGTAAGGTGTTTCGGGGCATAATTTGTAGGCAAACATAATGAAAAATCATATTAAACAGCAATTTCCAATGAAAAATTAAGAAAAGCAGTCGTGAATATGGAGTTTTCTCCATATAAGACAAAGAAAAATTATCCAGATTGCCTACAGACTTTCAGAAAACGGTAATTTGTATGTTCATGTCCTCTTCTTTAAAATAATGTCAAATTTAATATAGGTATCAGGACTACTTTTCATGTAATTTCAAGTTGAATTCCATGAATACATGTATACTTTATTTTCTACATAATTCTATTAGAGCTGTAAAGAATGGGAAAAAGAAAGTTGAAATTGATTATGAAACTAGCACCAAGAAGTTAGTCAAAAGTCATTTACTAGATCTTGACCTTAAACTATTTTAATCTTTAATAATGTTTCTTTTTTATTTTTTCAAACAAAATGGATTTTTTAAACCTTAATTTACTTATCAAAAGATCAATTCAAACACCAATTATTACAAATGGTTTACAGTTCCTTGTAATGATCAGATTATAACGAAAGAGAAGGAACACAAATGTTGTTGGGATCAATATTGTAAATAATTTGAATTGTTGGACATAAAAAAACAGTTTACATCATATATGCTAAATTTATTCTGCATAGCTGATTTGGAACATTTTTTTTAAAGTATTCAGTTACATGTGTTTCTAAATATTTTCTTCACTTTTAATTGGGCAGCGGCATTTCTAATAGAAGCATTTCATGACTGTATGCAAAATAAATAATTTAAAAATGATTTAAAGATAACAGACCATACTTTAATGTTCAGTGAAAACAAATAATTGAAGCCATCCAAAAATTAAGGGCCACAAAAGGTGAAAATCCTGTGTACCAAATGTTTGGTCACTTATTACTGTATATACACAACCACAGGCAATAACGGGTGTTTACAGGTGTAAACGATAGTGTGCTGATTACTGAATGCAGGTTTTATTTATTTTTTTTTTTTGAAAAGTTTCTTTTTTTTCAATATATGTACTTCTAAATGAAAAAAAATATGTACATCTGAGTAACCGAGTACCAGTTTTAGTATTTGATACTCAGACATTCAATCAAGTATCGAGTTAACCGGTCGTTGACATCCCTATTCTGAGGAAATCTGGACTGTCTGTCACCTTGTATAATACAGGATTTATACCAAATAATCATTATATTTCTAGCTGCTTCTAAAAAAATAACAGAAGAGAGAGAGAGTTGTTTTAAGGAAAATAAACTTTGTTGACAAGCCAGTAGCATACCTATAAGAGGATTGTGCCAGATCACCAAGGTACGCAAGGAAGACGTCGCGGGGTATCTGTGTACGACCTAGCTCCATCACTGTGTCTGGCTGGCCTAGGATAGTTCCTCCCTGTTGAAATAAAATACATTCGTCAGAGAAGATTTCCGGACAAAATTTCTATGATAAGTTGGTACAACAAAATATCAAATGAAGAGTTAAATCGAAAACAAAAACAACAACTGTTAGTGAAACAATATTGTTCAGGCTATGGATTGCCCACGTATTAGGAATGGAGAACATGCACCAGGATATGCACCACCTTACTGAGAAGAGATGGAACTGGACAGGCAAAAACAAACATGGAGGAGGACAGCTGAGCAAGAATGGTCACAGCTGGGAGGAAGCAGCTGGCCATCAGCAAGGGTAGCAGACAGACACAGGGAAGGTGGGGCAGTGTATAAAAACAGAGGAAGGTGGGGCAGTGTATAAAAACAGAGGAAGGTGGGGCAGTGTATAAAAACAGAGGAAGGTGGGGCAGTGTATAAAAACAGAGGAAGGTGGGGCAGTGTATAAAAACAGAGGAAGGTGGGGCAGTGTATAAAACAGAGGAAGGTGGGGCAGTGTATAAAAACAGAGGAAGGTGAAGCAAGGTATAAAAACATTAAGAGGAGAGATGACGTAGATAAGTTCCCGACTCAAGTTACTGAAACATTCCTTACTCATCAAACCCTGAAGGAACATCTTGCAAGTGCTTTGAGAAAGAGGACTATTGACAGATATTTTAAAGAACTTTTACAATTCTTCATCGAAATTCTGTCTCATACAGGTTTGGAAAGAGTTGAAATTAAACTTCTGGGTTTTCAAAAATAAACAGAGGTTTACAGTTTCATACTGTTGAAGAACTTTAAGTGGCAACATAGAGAATTATTTTTCAGTTCGGCACTAACTGGTACAGAGACACATTTAAAATATGATAAAAATGACAGAAACATTTTTAATACATGTATTGGCATTTAATGTCATTGTAAGTGATATCACACACAAAGCGTAATGTGTCATAATCTTCTGATTTTACAACTTTCCATCATAGCGAAATAATTATTGTAGCTTAGTTCATGTCCTCTTGAATTTTGTGAAAATTAAATTCTTATTTTATATAAATTCTTTGGTGTAGGGGTGTATGATTAAAGAACATGATGTTTAAATGTACTTGAATAAATAAGAGGTTGTTTACATGGCCCTAATTCTTGATAGTGACGTACCGGGGGACAAGCCTCGATTCCTCCCGTGCCTCCGAAGTAAAACTCCTCTCCATAGACCACTATCCCAGTGTGCCATACTCCCTCTATGTGTTTCCCTGCAAAGAACCATTATATTACCACACTCACAGCGCTTAACTAAACGCTCTTTAGGAAAACTTAAATCTCCCAAGCACTTTACAATAAATTGATCTGATCATCACCAGGATTCATTTGCGCCGTTGGGTACATTTTAACCACAGTTTAGCACTATATCATCTGAGATTTCCTTGACAATGGTCTAACCCTCGTGTTTGTCAGGTCCAGTCTAAAGACTATTTCTACCTACGTAGCTATTAATAGCTAGGTAGGTATTTAAACCTACCCAAAGTAGCTAATTTTACCTACAACCCTACCATTTGTGTAGCCAAAAGATCCAAACGAAGCAACACGGTGAATATCATATTTTTTGATACAGTCACACTGATGATGAATACAACAAAATTTTGGTCAAAAAATGATTACTTTCCGAATTGGCAATTTTACAATTAGTTTCTATGCAAAATTGATAATATAAATAATCATTTTTGCAAATTTTTTTAAATCCATCATAAGTGTGACTGTATCAAAAGAAATTTATATCCCATGTTGCGCCGTTCCAACCTGTTTGGCCACAAAATGCAATAAATTGATCTGATCAAGTAGGTATAAAAATTGCTACTTTGGGTACATTTTAACCACAGTTTAGCACTATACCATCTGTTTCCTCGACAGTGGTCTAGCCCTCGCGTTTGTATAATTATTTTAACGCAAAAAAAAAAGTGCAAGAGCCTGAAGAGGAATCTCAGAATAACAGAATAAACGATTAGGCCTACCTAGAAATGCCTGTGAAAGCGACCTCGCCATTCCTTTACTGATGTCGTAAATGTATACTTTTACGGGCCAAGAATCGGGATCAGTCATGATGAAGGGGTGTCCAAAAGCAACTTTCGGTAGCCTTGTATTTTGTGTAAGAACACTAACTGACTAAGTCATGACTTGACGAATCCAAACATTGCAAAGATGAGAATAGTTAAAATCCCGAACCCGATGAAAATTTCAGACGCTTTCATCCAGTTAACAATCAATTCGTCTTTTTTTTTTTATTTGGACACCCCTACAGTAAAGCCCAAATTAAAAGTAGTCCACATTTTTGTTCTTCCTCTTTTTTAAAATCAAAGTTCACATAATGATACGGAGAGAGCTTTTCCAAGGAATGCTGGACAACTCGCCCCCAAGACAGGTCGCCCCCAAGACAACTCGCCACCTATTCAGGACAACTCTCCCCCATTCAAGACAACTCGCCCCCAGTTTAAGAAACCTGCAAATATTAAATATATTCTATAGATATTTGAATTCAATTTGTTTCTAGAAAATTAAAACAAACATCTGAAAATATTTTTTCTCATACTATAAAAAAACAAAACAAATATTAATAATTTAAACACTATCACTATTGTCACACTGGCACTTTTTATCTATATCTTCGCTAACTTCACAGATTTATTTTAAACTTTCATCACATAACCTATATAAACTAAATAAATGTAATTTTCAGAGCTTGCATGATAAATTTCTCCATAACGTTGAAATTGCTTCAGAGCTTGGATACTACACGCCAATTTTTTTAACACTAAAAAAATTCCTAATTTTGGAGCTTGCAGGTACTAATTTAAATTAGTTATCACTTTGAAGTATCAAAATTAGTTGTTAGCTTGGTTGTGTCATTAAAATTTCTGTCTGATGTTTTTATTATCATTATCATTAGTTTCATAACGCCGCCGATTTTACTTTAACGTTAATTTTGTCATTAAATAATTTGGATGTTTTAACAATGAAGAAAATGTTCATTAAAATAGAAATATTTGATAAATAATATTAAAAATATATAATTATAAAATAATAAAAAATAAAAAGAAAAGAAACTATGCATTTTTTTCACTCTATTTCATAAGAACAAAATGAAAGAAAGCATGGATATTATGATAAATCTTTGATGCATACACAATGCATTTATACAAAAAAATGATGTTAATGCATCATGGAAAAAAATAAATAACCTAGCTATTACAACTGTAAGTATTGTTTATGATTTAAATTTGCATATAAAATATGCATTATTGAATATTACATTTCTGTTTTTTTCCTTGCAATTTACAAGAAAAAATAATGGGGGCGAGTTGTCCTGAGTGGGGGCGAGTTGTCCTAATTTGGGGGCGAGTTGTCTTGAGAAGTCTTGGGGGCGACTTGTCTTGGGGGCGAGTTGTCCGATTCCTTTCCAAGTATGTCTTCTTTTTTTTTTACCTTGACATTGAACAGTTGACCCCAACCTTACTTTTTTTCAATCTGTTTGAAAGAAAATATTGGGAACATTTTTTGTCAAAACCATTATACAAATTACATATATCATAGCATTCATTTAATATGTTAGGTTCCTGTGAAATGCTAACAGAAAATGTGTTTTGACTTGCTTAGATATGACTTGAGGTATAGCTGCATAATTCACATGGAAAGTTTGATATTTTTTCCCTTTTACTATATATACAATTGTTATCTCTACTAGGTAATCTCTCCATGATCTTTAAACATTATTTTTATGCATTATATATTTTTAATACAAAGTTATGAGCAAACATTTGTGAAAATGGAGAAAAGACCCAGAGACCATAAAAACTGAAATATACACTCTTAAAACTTTTTCATTTGTCCATCCATCCATTATCTGTATTGTTTCTGGGTACATTGTATATGTTATAAAAGATAATGAAAACAGCACACATGAAACATATAGATATAACGAATGGTACTCAAGATCAAAAGACCATAAAACGTACAATACAAAATAAGAGCAGAGCAAACACAGACCTCCAAAATATCAGAGGTGGGATCAGGTGACATGGAGGAGTAAGCATCCCCTGCCGACATGTCACATCCGCTCCTTGTCATGATCGAGAAATGACGGAAAAATCCATCGTCAATTCAGTATATAGTTAATGGATTAACAATTTGTATGAAAAATGTCAGTCAGCGTTTGACTCAATGATTTGAGGAAAAAAAAAAATAGAAGAAAAAATCAACTTTTAGAATCATTGTGTAGATTTTTTTTTTATCAAAAGTATGCATGTACATTAAAGCACAATTTATAAAACAGAGAAATAATCATATCTAAATGCACATTTAAAATCTCAGCTCATTCCCTCCTTAAAGCTTGTGTCTTCTATCAGTGTATGAGAATTAAACATTTGCAGGCTGTTTGTAGAGTCACTTTGTACTTCATTAGAGTCCAGTTCCATTGGGTTTTCACCCTGAGTGTTTACATCAGCTAGTCTGTCTTCCTCATTCTCTCTGTTGATTCCCTGAGTACTCTCCCGCTCGTTGTCTGGGCACCTGCTGCCTAGAATTACCTCCCCTGAATCTTCATTCCTATCCTCCATCTCTTTTTTCTTCTGATCAAATGCAACTTTGCTTGAAGTTTTAGTGCGAAGCACGATCCTGTGGCCTAATTTGTTAAAAATATAAATGAATAGCGGATAAGTTTCTCTTTTTTTCCAGGTAATTGACAAATGTCTGGTATAAGAGATCTAGAGTTTAATGTATTATTCTGTCGTAAGAAGTGGATACCAACCTTTACAGTCCAGAACCTCACGGAAAGTTTTCTCTTTACAACAATTCTTACACATCATATAAGAACACTTCCTACCCTGAAAAATAAACATCAAAAGTGTATCACTGATTTTTACTTTGCAGCTTCCTCTTTCAACTAGCTTTGATATAAAAACAATGCAATGTGGCTCTAGTTACCAATGTTATAAATATAAAGCAGAACTATTTGTGTTAACATCCGTGGATACACCGGTATAGGTAGTTTAAGCCACTCATATTGGTGTTTTGCTAGTATAATTCAGTTTACCGTATTGATGGTTGCAATTAACAATTGAGAGGATAGTTAATCCCTAATTTGTATAACTATGAAAGTTTTACAATGATACTATATTTCTTTATTAAATATGTACCCTGATATTCTGACAGGCCACACACTTCTCGTAGTTCTCCTCTGTATCCCTCGTCAGCTTTTTAAAAGGATTCCTCAGAAGTCTTTTGACTTTGTTTTTGGACAGTCCAGCGAATTCTGGAGCCTGAAGTTTCTCTTCCAGAGGGCGCTTTACAGTCTTCTTCTCTTTATTTTTATCCACTTCATTTGGACTGTAATACATTCATATAAATTATATTACATCAAATTATAACACATCAATATAAATTACAAATTGTGTTTTATCACATCTATATACAACATGTACACTGTGTGACAAGGATTGAATCAAATCCAACTTCATATTCACCCAGAACTTCATCTACCAGTATATGTCTTTGGTTTTATGTAATGTTTTGAAATATGACAATTCATTTTTACTTTAAAAAGGAGCAGTACTAGTTTACAGTGTCCAAGATAAAAATGATTTCAATCTGAAACATACTCTGGTCTGACATAGGGCTGACAAATCCAGTAAGGGAAAGGTAACTCTGATTGGAACAGTTCAGGCTTCTCTTTGAATTTTTCTGCATCTGCCTACAATACAGATTACCATGTTAACAAGACAGAAAAAGGTAAAAAAATAAATGTACATAGCAAACCAGAAGTGACACACTGTTTCTGTCTATTTTAATTGTCTTGATCGTTTTGAAGTGACCCTGACCAGACATCTCTCCTTGAGTTTCAGGGTGGCCAATCTGAAGCATTCTAATGACCTCCCCACTGCAATCAACTCACGGATGTCCAAGTGTACATTAAGGCTGGAACAGAAAGTATAACTAGTGTTAAACTGAAACGAAAGTAAAGGATTATATTATGGATGTCCAAGTGTACGTTAAGGCTGGAACAGAAAGTATAACTAGTGTAAAACTGAAACGAAAGTAAAAGATCTTATAATGATGGTTAAGTTTGTATGTGATACTGTTTATATATCTACCTGTGGTGAAACATCTTGAAGATGTGTCCCCTGGCATACGACAGAGGACAGGGGTACTTCTCAGCCAGCTCCAGATAATCCTCAGCCATTTTCCAAACTGGAGGACTGTCACCAGTGAACAATGCAGGATTGTGTAGGTTCCCCTCTATAAGATGACACAATAGAACTAGAGAACTCAGATAATGTGAATGTTTTATGGCCAGAAATATTATAAACACTGGTTTGTACAGAGAACTATGAACTCTGAATGACCCCTGACCTGCTGACATAACCCCCTGAACTCCTGTTTGATCTATACACCGTTCCACATCAGCCAGATACTGTATGTTACCATTAGCAAAGACAGGAATAGAGACACTCTCCCTGCAGAAGATTAACAAAACAAACTTAGTACGATACTCCAGACACATTCTTTTGTTGATACACCCTCCCTTTAACTTTTGTAGGACATAAAAGAATTTTATACAACAACTCTAACCTGACGAGTTTAATGATGTCCCAGTCTGCCAGGCCTGTAAACCGTCCTTTCTGTTCCTTTGTCCGACCGTGTACAGTCAACAGCTGCAACAGTCAATTGTAGCAAATTAAATATAGCAGCATTGTCTTTGTTTACCTGCTTAACGGTTTTGTACAATTTGGTGAAGTTAATGAGGTAAACATTTTAATTACTTCTTTTCACAACACATTAATCAAATAATTTGATTGAAAGTCCTAGCTCTTTCACATTTTCAGCACTTGAAGATAAGAAAAAAGATATTCATATTAATTTTATTTAGTAATTTTCAAATGACATTGCTTAATGATCAACAAGAATTTTACATCTTGTGCATTTGTGGCACCCTCTGGAGCATCTTTTTCTCTTTACCTAAAAGTGGTCAACAATATTTGGTTTCTGATAATTATGTACACAGATGCAAAAATAGACAGACCAGATCCATCTGCTCCCCATTTTTTTTTTAGCAGACAGCTGCTCCTACCTGACATCCAGCTTTTTCCAACATCTGTGCATAGAGAACTGTCTTCTCTTTTGACTCAAATACTCGAATCTTACAGGTTATTGGCACCTTCAACTTCTGATGACAAAGTGTAACTACAATATACATATACCATATCATGAAGATGGTTCTCTCTTGATAACAATCAACTTATGACTGTAGGTACATATTCAGAAACTTATCTATGAATTGCTGAACTTGCTTTACTATTGTGCTGTATTAAAAGTCATGATACATGCAAACATCTCTGGAAAAAAGTTGAGAGCCATTTATTGGTATTAGATAACAAATAAATTAAAAAATAAATAATAAATGTACCCATTTTTTTCAGCAGGTCCCACTCATCCTCTAGGAATGCCCCATAGTGACCTCGTTTGGCGATGGTCTGAGGACAGCCAAGGTTAAGGTCAACTGCATCACAAATATCCTCCACATACTGGGCCGCCCTCAGAAAGGTGTCAGGGTCATTGGCACAAAACTACAGCAAAATAAGATATTTTTTTAACAAGCCATGTCTGGTTTTCTCTGAAGTAAGAAAGATTGTCCATCATTTATTTACTATCACCTTTTCTTACCTGTACCTGCTATTCCCTTTCCTTTAATATCTGTACCTGCTTTCACCTTTTCTTACCTGTACCTGCTATTCCCTTTAATTTAATACCTGTACCTGCTATCACCTTTTCTTATCTGTAACTGCTATCACCTTTCCTGCACCTTGTACCTGCTTTCACCTTTTCTTACCTGTACAATCAGTGGTCTATCCTCTGGACACGTCTGCATTGCTTCTTTCCTGTAATTAGGATCCCTAACAAACACTGATGAGTGAAACATGGGGGTGTAACATAGCTGCGCTCCATATTTACGACTCAACATTCGCCAGGCTAGCTCACTTGCATCCACCATTGGTGCCACCACATACTTGGCTGAATTCAGAGTCTTTCTCCAAAAATCGAATCCTGAAAGCTTCTTTTCTTCCTGTGAATTATTTAATTGTAAAAATTACTTATTGATTTATTTAATTAATAAAAGGTTTTGAAAATATTCAAAATTATTTTTTTTTCTGTAAAAAGAGAAAATCTCAAAAAATTAAAAACCATAGTTTTCGTTGCCCCAGTCTAAGAACTTTTAAGGGATATCTTATGTATTTATCTTAGACTAATACAGTATTGACATGTGTTGCACTCATGTTACATCACTCTTCTAAATGTAAACAGGGGTTTTGTATGGGAACAGAAAAAGTCATATGGAACTATTAAAAGGAGAAATGTAACAATCTAAAACTAGTTCAGTTCAAGTTTAAAAATCGGTAGATAATACGTATTAGATATTCTTCTATCGGAAATGATATGAAATACCTGAATCTCCTCTTCTTGTTGACGTTCTTCCATCTTCCACATGTTGACACTGAAGAGTTATAACAAGGGAACTAATTCTTAATCAATGTCGTGGGATCGTCTCAAAACCAATTATATTTTTGAACTATTTATGTAATAATGTGAAATCTGCATAACTGAAGTTAGAATGAAAACATAAGAAAATAATTTGTTGAAATTTAAAAAAGAGCACAGACATTTTTAAATTGCCAGTCATTTTTCTTTGCACATTTTCCGGATTTTTTCTTCTTTTGATAAGTATTTTGAATTTAAGGATTGTCACATGACAAAACTGGTTATTCTGCTGTGAGTTGAGAACCAGATAATCAGGGAAGAACTTTCAAGAAGTAGGCGGAGTAAAAACTTCACAAGAGGCGATTCCCGAGTTTAAATAATCTCAAGGTTAGTTTAATTTATCCTGACAAGCTCAGATTTATGTGCTCAGTAGAATAATCTACTATACGGATCCACATTTTTGACACCCCCCCTCTAAAAAAAAACCCAATGCAATCTGCACTCTTTTTCTTTTTCATATTTATTTATTATGTAAGATGATTTAAATTAAAAGATGATTTAAATTAAAACATTGAATTGAAACTAATATAATACAGATAAATGTATGGATGTGAGTTCAAATGAAAATATGTTTAACAGGAAAGGAGAAAATGTATGGCAGTGGACCGAGAATTGAACGTGGGACCCCTGCATCCCTAGTCATTTGCTCTACCCACTGAGCTATACAAGCCGATATCCATGGGCCAAATCATTACATTTCTCCATCTTTAAATGGTTGTTGCCCTTGAAGACAAAACTCAAGTTCTTAATAGCCCCTGGCAGGTATTTTGACACCTGCAATTCCAGGGGGTGGTCAACGGCACCAAGTTTGTAGTAGGAAAGGAGAAAATGTATGACTGGAACGGCGATCAAACCCGGTTTGATCTGCTGCATTTTTTTCCTCTTGCTCATTGCATTTGGTGCCGTGCCATGCCAAGGAAATGACAGGTGATAGGCCTTTCAGGGATGAGCCTGGATTGGAGTATTTGGGGTCCAAAGACCTTTAAGGAGACCTTAATGTGGTGGTCATTTGAGTTCAATCACCGATGGCCAGATAGCTTAGTCAGTAGAGCAACTGACTGGAGTTTGAATCACAGTCCAGTCTTCCGCATTTTTCTCCTCTCCTGTAAAATATGTTAATGTTCTAAATTCACCAGTTCAAATGAACATAAATTATTTATAATTAAAACTCAAAAAACTTTATATAGGATGAGCTCGCATGCGCGAGTGCAACAGACTTTAATGAAGTGTATACAGTATACAAAGCACAGTCTTTAGTTTAACTTCTGAAATCCATTCTACAAAAGAAAAAGATTAAAAAAAAAGCGACATGTCAACATTAATATGAACAACATGTAGGAAATATCGATACTGGAAGGGGTGGGTGGGGCAGAGGATTAGTCTGTTGCAATGTACGTGTAGCAGCAAACTTCGAATGACTTAAAACACCCAAAAATCTACCTTATATGTGACTGAATCATGCGTAACATGGATTCAACCTATTCACCCGTAAACAAATGAACAACAAGTTGATCTCCTTTGCCGATGGACTTAATCTGCTTACATAACAAACACACGTGTTTTACCATAACTTTTATAAATATTTATATCCTCAGAGGTTTTGAGTTGTAACCCTAAGTCTTGATTACTGGTATTATGGCCTGTCTTGAAACACTATTTTTTAATTAGCCTTGCTAAATAAATATTGATTAACAGGGGATAGCCAGACTAATTTTCATGTGATTGCCCGAGTAGGCAGGGGCTTTGGTCCGCTGAAAAGGGGGCCCAGGAGGCAAAGCCCCAGAAGCTAGTGAATCTTTGCCAATTTTCGTTGTGCAGATTTGACACTCCTGATCACATTTTTCTTACACTGTATAAGTTTGTAATGCAGTCATATTCAAGGTCTGTAATGTGTTTGTACAAAATGCAGACAAACACTCAAAAATGAGGAAGGATCTGAGACAAGTCCAATATCATTGTGTGAAAAACCCATTAAAAAACAATGTAAGACTTTTGAAGAGACAAAATATATATGGTAAAATAGTTGGTTAGAGTGGTAGAATATAATGCACTTAGAAAAAACTCAGCAATAGTTAAGTAAATTTTAGGAAAATATCATTATTTCAGGGTTTTATTTGTATTCAACTCTTAAATTGAAAGAGTGCATTGCTGTTGTTATTCACTGATCCTTTAGATATTTAATGTATATCCATAATAAAAATAGGTTTGAATATCATCTTATAGTTTGAAAACTTTTTGTTTTAATTATTCAAAAATAAGGTCCACTACAGATCTTTGCTCTATTGTTTAAAAAGAATCATCTTTGAATACTTAAAAGATATTTAGTAGCCTATAGCTACTGGTCAGAAAATTTTGGATGAACAACAAGGATTGAAGATTGACTGTCCTATTTGTTTTCACTCTAGTTGGTACCATTCAGATTTGTAGTGTACTGAAAACATGCAAATTTTAAAAGAAAATATACTTTAGAAATGTGAACTTAAGGCTATTCTCTGATTTGTTTTTAATGCTGTATAGTTTTGATCTCATCCAAAATTGTACAAACAAGAGTGCATGCAGATATGATTTTGTCAGGATTAGAGGTTTAAGGTTCAATCTACCTTATAGAATTATCTAAAATTTCTTGATTGTATTCACTAGTGAGTTATTAGTACCATGATCAGTGATTAAGGGACTTTCATCATAATTTGTAAAAGAGTAAGGTTTTTGTGTCTTAATTTTTTTTTATGTGGGTTATTTTTGGGAGGGGGGTCCTTGTGATTAAAATAAATTGTTTTATTTTCTGCTTACTCAATTTTAAGTTAAAGAGTTTAGTTTTAAGATTGATTTAATAATCTGGATTGGAACACTTTAGCAGATTGAGAGCAATGTTCAATTGACTCAGTGTCAGAATAGCCCCCCCCCCTTGCATGAGACATATGCATATCTTGATCAAGTTAAAACTTTCTTTAGTGGGAACATTTCAACAGAAACATGATAAAAGAGCTTTTTGTATGAAGGGAAGGTCATTGCATTATATGCAATGAATTATTCAATGTTTGCAGTCTCAACAGAATATGCACTGTGTTTATCTTAATTAAATGGGACAGGAAGATGTATGGTATCTATACTGTATATACATGTATTGTATAGATGTGAAAAAATATATAGGAGAAAAGATCAATTAAAAAATCAATATATTAACCAGATTAACTATCTTAAAGTTATATCCTGATCATGGTGATGATACACCATGCACTTTACAGCACAAAAACGTGTTAAAAAGTGTTTCATGTAACATGTAATACCCTGTGTAGATAGAGAGATATTGCCTAAGGCTGCAGTTAGAATGAATAGAGACACACAACTCTCGGGTTAGGAAGAGATAAAGTAATGAGGAAGCGCAATGAATAATATAATATATTAGTTTTTAATGCTTGCTGAAATACTGATATAAAAAAAAAAAACGAACAGGTGCACTTTGAGCAGTGTTCTGTTCCAACTCTCTTACATATATTCTTTATTTATTAACATGCAACAAAATCATTTTTTGAACCCTTTATTGGACAATTTTACCCCCTCTTTATCATAGCCAATATATTTAAAGATGGAAAAAATCCATTTTTCTGAAGTTCAAATGACCTGCTCTAATGCTTTAACTAGTTATGACCAGTCCTTTAAAAAATATTGTGAGTAATGAAGGAGGAAAATATTTTCGACTTGAACATGACATTGTAAATTATCAATTTGTATTTTTGTTTTTTGAAGTGGTAACATTAACAACCATAACATTAACCAATGCACATGGATGATTAGTATTAATCAGCAAAGGGATGCCTATATGCATCCCTGCAACAGAAAACTGAAGAGATTATGTATATACATGTATTTGCATAATTCTGTAATGTTATTAAGATTTTGATGATCAAGTATATTTGACCTTTATCATAATATAGAGTTAATGATGTTAATAAAACACTAAAACAGCTGATAATTTATCACATGACAATAACTGTAATCTGAGTCAGGTGACCCGCTACTCTTAAGTGAAGCTGTTTTCATCATTGATTGCTGTCTATACCATCTATACAGGCATAATATTATTTCCTAAATATGAATAGAAAAGACTGACAGTTAGGTAGGCTAGGTGTTACCTGAGAAGTCACACAGGTAAGAAGTGGACACATTCTCATGTTGGGGGGCTGCATGTTTGTTTTGTGTAAACGGAACATACACATTTTCTTATCTGGGGTATAATTGAGGAGCGGGGAATCGAGCTAACATTTCGGCAAGTGTGGTTTATTTAATTATTCTTATAATATTTATTAATTTAAGGAAAATTATTATATTGTCTTCCATGTGATTATTATTTTTTTTTACTTATTTTATCATTAATTAGTTTCAAAATGTTTCTTTAAACTTTTTATACATATGCATGTATATTGTATGACTCTGTAAAGAACATTGGTCCCTGTGTTTCTATTGGATACATAATGATCTTTGATACATGTACGTCATATTTTTGTAAGACCGATTTCCGTCTTTTTACTTATAAGTTGTCCCTAAATTTATCCATTTGTCATATTTTCTGAGAGGTTTCTGGTCTTTGATGACCTATAGTCTTTATAAGTTCCCTGTTGTATTAACATGATTAATCCCTGTGCCTGTGAAGTACATAGACTGCTAACTCAAGCAGAACAGGATATAACGATGCCTCTCAGCGATTATCTTTATAAAGTGATATCATTATTTATACATGAAGTGGTTTTTTATCGTAAGAAGATGCTAAAAGTAAAATAAACATTGTAAGTTAAATAAAAGTAGTAATTCATGCAATATTTTCTCTCATAAAAATGCATGAACAAGGATGCTTTTCTACTTTTTGGTGAATACATCTGTACATTAAGTTTCCATTCAGTTTTCATTCATTATAATGAATAATGGGTGTCCTTTTTAACAGCCAGAAATGGAAAATATATTATTTTACTTAAGTACGAAAAAGTGAAAATAATGAATACCGATAGATATCAATTTAAAAAAATCCATGAACAATACATTACAGGTCACCTTTTGTGGTTCCTTCAAATAAAAGTCTTGTTTGCATGAATAATATGGACCAGTAAAATGCTTAATCCAGTTAGATGGTTTAATCTTGATATTTAAACATGGTTATTACAAAATCCTATTAGAAGTTCAAAAAACGAGAGCCCAGCTGTTGGGTGTAGCTGTTAACCTGTGATAAGATGTTGACCTTTTAAGGACACTAACATGTAACATACTACCAGGATTACCTCTGTAGTTTATGGCTAATTACAACATTCACATGGCTTAAAGGAAATTAAAAAAAAACAACAACAAAATACACACTGCTTACAGCTTTCATAAACAAAAAAAAAAAGGAAATATTTTTGTCTGCATTAATTGTCAGATTTGTTTAAAAATATTTCTTCAGACTTGGCATATTTAAGAGGAAGTATTTTCAAGCAAATTAAGTGGTCTAGCAGAAAAGAAAAGGAAATAAGTAAATTATTTAATAATACAATGTGGTTAATTAAAGAGCATAGATAATGAATTGGATACTCTACAAATTTGTCTTGTTTTGGTTTTGTCCAATATTGCCCCACACTAAAATTATTTGTCTTTAATGGAAAATTAACATTTTTATTTGAGTGAACAAATGGATAATTAACCTTAAATTACTTATTTACAGGTAGAATAAGAAAAGGATTCAGGTTCTGACACAATATGTTTATAATGTCATTAAACCTGGAAAGGGGAATTTTTAACTTTGACTATTTGTAAATGTTTGAATTTCCCTCAACATGTCAGAAAGTGTTGCTTATTCAGAACACTGCCGCTTTATTGTATGCCTTGAGGTCTCCTGTTCTGAGATAAGTAAATCACAGTTTATGGTCATACAGTTGAGGATTTGAGCATCAATCAATACCATGTCATCTGTTACAGTAAGATAATATTTGGGTCGTAATGTCCTGACAAATCTGGAAATCTTTATTACTACAGATATTTGATTAAACAGAAGCTCTCCTGACTGAGGAGGAAACAAAAGACCACCAAGATGGGGGCCATGTTCCGTAGCGAGGAGATGAATCTGTGTCAGATTTTCCTCCAATCAGAAGCAGCCTACGCCTGTGTCTCGGAGCTAGGCGAGCTTGGGCTGGTCCAGTTCAAAGACGTAAGATTTATTTATAAACATCACAAACTGTTTTCTTGAAAATCCGAATGTATTAGATTCATATTACAAACTCATTATGAAAAATTCAGATACATTTAGAAACCAGACTTTTATTCTGAATGTAAGACAACCATGTCAAATCTTCTATGACAGAGTGTAAAGCAATCACATTAGTTATTGTTTTAATATTGTTCAAATAGGACAAAAATTTTCTCCTAAATATCTAACTTCTTTTAACTAAATATTTTATTTTATTTGTAGCTGAATCCTGATGTGAATGCCTTCCAGAGGAAGTTTGTGAGTGAGATCATGAGATGTGAAGAGATGGAGAGAAAACTCAGTAAGTCAAAGTAGAAGAAAAATATCAAAGTTTTGTTAAGAATTTATATCCACTGTTCATTTGTTGTCTTTACTTTTTGAAATGTGACACTTGACATGGAACCATTGCTTGTTATAGGATACATACACAAGGAACTGAAGAAGGATGGAATGAAGATTCCAGACCGAGATGAGAATCCGAAGGCACCAGCTCCTAAAGAAATGATCGACCTGGAGGCGACCTTTGAGAAAATTGAGTCCGAGTTAAAGGAAGTGAACACGAATGCCGAAGCTTTACGTCGTAACTATCTAGAGCTGACGGAACTCAAGGAAGTCCTGAAGAAAACTCAGCTCTTCTTCTCTGAGGTGGGTATACATATTAAGGAATTCATAGACTCGGTAACTCTCAACTGAGTGCACTCATGTCTCAAACCTTTTAATGAAAAAGTATGATGATGCTGAAGAGTGAATATGATTAATTGAGAATTAAGGCAGATTGTGAACCCTTACTATTAGAGAAAGATATTGGTGTTTGTGAATGGACTTGGAATTCACTTTTACAGCATGGTCGCCATGGTATTGTGGAGGATGCTCAGAGTGCTCTGGTCCATGACGAGGGAGGGGGATTTGTTCCCATCACCTCTGTACAACTAGGGTAAGTAGAGTACAACTTAGTAGATATTGTACAGCTCTGTAGATATTGTACAACATAGGTAAACATTGTACAATTCAGTAGATATTGTACATCTAAGGTACTGTAGATTCCTTATTTTTCGCGAGTACTTATTATTGCGATATGGCTCTTTGACGTAAATCGTGAGAATATTTATTTGCGAATGGGCCTTTTGTAAAGAGAATTTACATGAATATCAGCACCATAAAAATAAAAGCGAGAAATTTTATTAAGCGAGTGATACTTCTCGCGGAATTACGCGATAATAAATTCCTCGCGTTTAATTAGGAATTTACAGTAATTAGTGTACAACTCACTTAGATATTGTACAACTCAGGTAGATATTGTACAACATAGGTAAACATTGTACAACTCAGGTAGATATTGTTTCAAATTGTACAACTCAGGTTGATATTGTACAACTCAGATTGATCTTGTACAACCCAGTAGATAATGTTCAACTTGTGTAATGTTGTACAGCCTACTAGATACTGGTATTCTATAACCCAGTAGATATTGAGCATCTTGGGTAGATATTGTGTTTCATGAGAAAGATTAGTAACAAATTTTTGAAGACTTTATATTTCTATCCACCCTGAGTTTATTTTAGGTTTACATTGATATCCCTGAGTTTATTTTAGGTTTACATTGATATCCCTGAGTTTATTTTAGGTTTTTGTTGATATCCCTGAGTTTATTTTAGGTTTATGTTGATATCCCTGAGTTTATTTTAGGTTTACATTGATATCCCTGAGTTTATTTTAGGTTTGTAGCTGGTGTGATTCCCAGAGAGAAGGTCCCTGCCTTTGAGAGACTTCTATGGTTTGCTAACCGAGGTAACACCTTCCTGAAATACGACGAGATTGAACAGTCCCTGGAGGACCCAGTCACAGTGAGGAGAATTTCTACATGTATTGTTAAGATTGTAAACATAGGAAAACTCCTGTTCATACTGAGTGACAAAACTTTTTAAAATTATTGTTTAATATTGAGAATTATTAACATATGTTTTATGATTAAAATATCACTGTTTTTGTTTTCCAGGGAGATGCCATTTCTAAGTGTGTATTTCTGATTTTCTTCCAAGGAGAACAGCTAAAGGCTCGGGTCAGGAAGATTTGTGAAGGGTTGGTTACTCTACAGTATTTTTAAAAAACAATATCTAATATATAAAAGTGGATGAATTCATTATTATGAAGTTTGAAATATTAAAAATTTTGATTTAAAATATAAATTGTACCTGTAGGTTTAAAGCCACTCTATACCCGTGTCCAGAGAGTGCCCAGGAGAGAATAGATATGTTGAATGGTGTGTCTACTAGACTGGAGGACCTCAATACAGTAAGTACTGTATAGTCCTAGTATTTACATGTATCTATACCTCAACAAAGTAAGTGTCTATTGACTTGTTTGAATACACATGGAAAATAACCCCGGCACAAGATAAATTCAAATAACCATCAATACCCACTACCACCGACTTCTAAGTTAACACACAGAAAATATACATCACAGATGATAAAAAGACAAAAAAATATTGAAAACTAACATCCTAGAGGTTTATCCATTATAAAATTGTCCTAATGATGGACATCCTAGCCCCTGTATAATTATAAGGATTTATTAACCGATAGGTTCTCCACCAAACCGAGGACCACAGGAAGAGAGTGTTGATGAGTGCCCAGAAGGAGATACGACCTTGGATTATCAAGGTCAAAAAGATCAAGGCCATCTACCACACCCTCAACATGTGTAACTTTGACGTGTCCCATAACAGTCTGATCGCCGAGTGCTGGACACCGGTTAGTGGTCTGGAGGAGATCCAGAGGGCACTCAAACACGGCACCGTAAGTACTGACCCCCCAAACGTGTTACCTGAGATCTGTCAAATATGGAACTGTAAGTTCTGAATCTCAAACATGGCACCAGTGTTTTCAATAAGATTTTCAATAGAAGGAAAAATAGATGGAATAGCAGGAAAACAGCGGGTCCAGGGCAGAGCCCTGGTAGGGGGCCCAGGGGGGCGAAGCCCCCCAGCCGAAAACGAAAATCAGCATTTTTGACTCATTTTCTTACCATTCAGGCTATTAAAAAAGTACCATTTTTCACACTCCTGTCACTATGAATTATCAAATTTTACCTTAAAAAGCCAATTAGAAAACATTTTTTTACTTTTTCACAGATTTGTTCCGACAGTTTTTTGACAGACTGAGTTTTTTTTTCTTCTGAAAACTAAGTGTCTATACAAACATATAGACAACTTAAGGACAGACGAGACGTTCCTTAATAATAGATAAATTTTTCTAAGAGTTTGTCATTGAATTATTGCTACTAAAACATGTTTACTCACAAAAAATTGAGGTACCTTACCAGGCATTTCTGCAAGTTATCAGGGGTAGGTTTTCTTATATAATCCTTTGGAGAAGAAAAATAATTTTCCAATTTCAAATGTTTAAGTGTTTGGATTTTTTTTTACGTTTAGAAACTGGTTTAGAAATCAGAATGTTATTAAAATTTTGAATATTTTTCATACATTACGAATATATACAAAACAGATTTTTAGGAACGTCTCGTCTGACCTTAAGTATGAAATTCTAGTACAGACAATTGTCTGTGGTAGAATATTATACTGAAAATTCTACATATTTGTCCCTTTCACATAAATTAGTCAGGTCTTTTATTCAAAATTCAAAAAAAAATTATTTAGTTAAAAATGTAATTTTTTTTAACACTTGGTGATGTACAGTAACATCCAAAAATTGAAATATTCTGCAATCTTAGACGTTTCATAAATTAATCTTAAAACTTATTTACATTGGCATTTTCATTTTGTACAGATTGTCAGAACAAAATAATTAAGAAAATGGAATTTGATACAAAATACTAGTACATTAAAACCTTCCCAAATGTGAAAATGATACTGTTCCTGTATTTCAAGATATCTTTACACGAATAAATGAAAATGAAATTTTACATTTTCAGTTTGAGGAAATTCTGCAAGAATTTCTACATGTACGTCTGAGTCACGATCAAAATATTAAGACTTTTATTCGTAATTATTACGTCTTAGCTTGACACTTGAGATTTTCAGTTTGAGGAAATTCTGTAAGAATTTAACATTTTTCGTAAGGTCTTAAAATTATATTTATTTGCTGTTTTTTCACCGGGGAACCCCTCACCTAATATTAAGGCTGCCGAACAATCAATTTTCAATCGAAAATTATAAAACACAAACAAATCATTTTGGAAGGGACCATTCTTTATGCCTCTTAATGTATGTGATCTCAAACGCATGTGTTACAGCAGCAGCAGCACGTTTCTCCACGACTCGCTCAAATATTCGTTGATCCGCGCCGCCATTGCATGACGATCGATCTAATCAAACTTCCTTGAAAAAAGAGCGCACTCAAGGGAAGCTACTCTAAATCATGGAAATAGTTGCGATAAAATCTATGGATTTCACGTATCAGCCCCGGCAAAATCTTAATGACGGAAATTTCATAGCCGGCAAAATTTCTCGTACAGGCGGTTAATTTTGCCGGTTGCCGGCTCTTATTGAAAACACTGGGCACCATAGTTACTGACCCCCAAACACAGCATTGTAAGTTTTGACTTTGAACACAGCACCATAAGAACTGAACTCCCCCATAGATAACAAAAAAATGTTAAAATATTTGTGATTCACATTAAGTACAAGTAAATTCTAACTCCATCTAGAAAAAATTTGTGATCATAGATTTGAAATTTTATACAGGAGTTTAAGTTTAAATAAGAACAAATACATGTGTATGTAAAAACTTTTTTTTTAATAAATGATTTTTTTATGTTGACAGGAGCTGAGTGGAAGCACTGTTCCCAGCATTCTCCATCGTATGCAGACAAAGGAAGTCCCGCCGACCTACTTCCGCACAAACAAGTTTACACTTGTGTTTCAGGAAATCATTGATGCTTACGGTATAGCCTCCTACCAAGAGGTCAATCCAGGTAAGGTGTTACTATAAATAGATATCAGTACCATGTAATGGAGGGGGTTATCCCAATTTATTGAACAAAGTATGCACTTTGCATGTACATGCAGCTTTAGAATATTCTGACAGTATGATTCAGGTGTTACCATGTTGTTGAATAAGTAAATCAAATAACAAACCAAAATGTGTTATACAGGTAATTACATGTCAAGTATTTACAATGTACCCCAATATGTTCTTTTTAAAATGTGTTACATACATTGTAGTATATATCTGTATAGTACATGTGTAATTATACATCTCCAGCTCCGTACGCCATCATCTCCTTCCCGTTCCTGTTTGCCGTCATGTTTGGAGATTTTGGTCATGGCTTCATCATGTTCCTGGCGGGACTGTGGATGGTCATCATGGAGAAAAAACTGATAGCGGACAAGTCGGACAACGAGGTAGGTAGAGATAAAGGCTTCTGATTTCCAAGCCTCCGATCAGAGTACATATTTAGGGAATGGGAAAATTGCACTTCACAGAATAACAATATACATGTATCCATGATTAAAAGGATCCCATGAAAGGAAACTGAACTAATAATAGTATTGTATGTCATATACATCTGATAGGTACACTTGACTATGATGTTAGAGTTAAATACACATAGCTATAATGTCAACTTTATTCTGAAAATACATGTACTTGTTTAAAGAAACAAAAAGAGACACCACTATGTGTATATCAGCTGTTACAGTAATTATTTGTTGTTGTTTCAGATTAGGAACATGTTTTTTGGAGGACGCTACATCATCACTATGATGGGTCTGTTCTCTGTCTACACCGGACTGATCTATAACGACATCTTCTCTAAATCTGTCAACATATTCGGATCAGCCTGGCACCCCAGCTATGAGTACGTCTCACTTAATGTTCACTTAATTATTGCCAATTGTTTTGTTACATGTATTTCTCATTTACTACAGGCTCCGAGGTCAATAAAAATTTAACTGAGACTCGGCTCAGTTTTGATCTCAGTTTCACTTTCTCAAAAGGAATTATTAGTGAGACTGAGATCAGAAGTGAGCTAAAGTTAAGGTTTTATGGCCCCCGAGTCTTGTGAGTTAATGTCATTAGGTTTAGGGAAGTCTTGCATCAGTTATTTCTAGATTAAACAGTAAAACACTTCAATGAAATGCCAGGAATGGACATTTTTTAATATGCTGTAAATGTAATTTGTTATATCTGTAAAGTACATTTTAAAGCCACTGCCCACTGGGAATGAAAATCCTATTATCTCTCTCAATCTTGTAGTTATCATACATTAATGGCACAGTCCAGTCGGGTCCTATTATCTCTCTCAATCTTGTAGTTATCATACATTAATGGCACAGTCCAGTCGGGTCCTATAATCTCTCTCAATCTTGTAGTTATCATACATTAATTCCAGTCGGGTCAAAATTATCTCTCTCAATCTCAGTTGTAGTTATCATACATTAATGGCACAGTCAGTCGGTTCCTATAATCTCTCTCAATCTTGTAGTTATCATACACTAATGGCACAGTCCAGTCGGGTCCTATAATCTCTCTCAATCTTGTAGTTATCATACATTAATGGCACATTTTTCGGGTCCTATAATCTCTCTCAATCTTGTAGTTATCATACATTAATGGCACAGTCCAGTCGGGTCCTATAATCTCTCTCAATCTTGTAGTTATCATACATTAATGGCACAGTCCAGTCGGGTCCTATAATCTCTCTCAATCTTGTAGTTATCATACATTAATGGCACAGTCCAGTCGGGTCCTATTATCTCTCTCAATCTTGTAGTTATCATACATTAATGGCACAGTCCAGTCGGGTCCTATTATCTCTCTCAATCTTGTAGTTATCATACATTAATGGCACAGTCCAGTCGGGTCCTATAATCTGTCTCTATCTTGTAGCTTTCATACATTAATGGCACAGTCCAGTCGAGTCCTGGATCCACTGGAACACTTCAACAATGCCACGGGTCCATATCCTTTTGGAGTTGACCCGGTAAGTTACTGCATAACACACAGTGCCTACAAGATAACAATGTTCAAGGATTCCGGTACATGTATCTGTGAACTACAGGGTAACATGGCTCTGCTTTCAGATCTGGCAGGGAAGTCTGAACAAAATCACCTTCACCAACTCCCTCAAGATGAAAATTTCTGTCATCTTCGGAGTCTCGCAGATGTTGCTGGGTGTACTTCTGAGCTGTGTCAACCACGCGTAAGTGTTCACAAAAACGGGAAGAACAGTGCTTATCAGTTAAGATTCTGTAACACTTCAGTTATCAAAAACATCATATGAACACATATACATTTTTGTATTTATGTACAAGTACACACTTTTCCTCAGACAAGTAAGTTTGATGTAAAAATAAGAATAATAGATACGTACTTGGATGGAGTATACATATCTTTGTTTAGTGAAATGTTTGTGTAATCCCCTGAATTCTGATTAACGTTTATTTACTGATTGTATGTTCCCCAGGTACTTCCGTCTGCCCCTGTAATCTGATTCATGTTAACGTTTATTTACTGATTCTGTGTACCCCAGGTACTTCCATCGGCCCCTGTAATCTGATTCATGTTAACGTTTATTAACTGATTCCGTGTTCCCCAGGTACTTCCGTTGGCCCCTGTAATCTGATTCATGTTAACGTTTATTTACTGATTCTGTGTTCCCCAGGTACTTCCGTTGGCCCCTGTAATCTGATTCATGTTAACGTTTATTTACTGATTCTGTGTTCTCCAGGTACTTCCAGCGGCCCCTGTAATCTGATTCATGTTAACGTTTATTAACTGATTCCGTGTTCCCCAGGTACTTCCGTTGGCCCCTGTAATCTGATTCATGTTAACGTTTATTTACTGATTCTGTGTTCCCCAGGTACTTCCGTCGGCCCCTGTAATCTGATTCATGTGAACGTTTATTTACTGATTCTGTGTTCCCCAGGTACTTCCGTTGGCCCCTGTAATCTGATTCATGTTAACGTTTATTAACTGATTCTGTGTTCCCCAGGTACTTCCGTCTGCCCCTGTAATCTGATTCATGTTAACGTTTATTTACTGATTCTGTGTTCCCCAGGTACTTCCGTCGGCCCCTGTAATCTGATTCATGTTAACGTTTATTAACTGATTCTGTGTTCCCCAGGTACTTCCGTTGGCCCCTGTAATCTGATTCATGTTAACGTTTATTTACTGATTCTGTGTTCCCCAGTTACTTCTGTCTGCCCCTGTAATCTGATTCATGTTAACGTTTATTAACTGATTCTGTGTTCCCCAGGTAGTTCCAGCGGCCCCTGTAATCTGATTCATGTTAACGTTTATTTACTGATTCTGTGTTCCCCAGGTACTTCCGTCGGCCCCTGTAATCTGATTCATGTTAATGTTTATTTACTGATTCTGTGTTCCTCCAGGTACTTCTGGCAGCCCCTGTAATTTGATTCATGATAACGTTTATTTACTGATTCTGTGTTCCCCAGGTACTTCCGTCTGCCCCTGTAATCTGATTCATGTTAACGTTTATTTACTGATTCTGTGTTCTCCAGGTACTTCCGGCAGCCCCTGTAATTTGATTCATGATAATGTTTATTTACTGATTCTGTGTTCCTCCAGGTACTTCCGGCGGCCCCTGTAATCTGATTCATGTGAACGTTTATTTACTGATTCTGTGTTCTCCAGGTACTTCCGGCGGCCCCTGTAATCTGATTCATGTTAACATTTATTTACTGATTCTGTGTTCTCCAGGAACTTCCGGCAGCCCCTGTAATCTGATTCATGTTAACATTTATTTACTGATTCTGTGTTCCTCCAGGTACTTCTGGCAGCCCCTGTAATCTGATTCATGTTAACGTTTATTTACTGATTCTGTGTTCCTCCAGGTACTTCTGGCAGCCCCTGTAATCTGATTCATGTTAACGTTTATTTACTGATTCTGTGTTCCTCCAGGTACTTCCGGCAGCCCCTGTAATCTGATTCATGTTAACGTTTATTTATGGATTCTGTGTTCCTCCAGGTACTTCTGGCGGCCCCTGTAATCTGATTCATGTTAACGTTTATTTACTGATTCTGTGTTCCTCCAGGTACTTCTGGCAGCCCCTGTAATTTGATTCATGATAACGTTTATTAACTGATTCCGTGTTCCCCAGGTACTTCTGGCAGCCCCTGTAATTTGATTCATGATAACGTTTATTTACTGATTCTGTTCCCCCAGGTACTTCCGTCGGCCCCTGAACATCTTCTGTGAGTTTATACCTCAGCTGGTCTTCCTGCTTTGTCTGTTTGGGTACCTGGTGGCCCTCGTCTTCTACAAGTGGATCTTCTTCACCGCCCTCTGTACCCAGTATGCTCCACAGCTTCTTATCCGTAAGTAACGCAGTATACTGAACATTATACAATGTATCTAAGTGGTGTCTATTTTTGGTTTTTGAAATTTTTGGCCAATCTTAAATTAAGGAAAGGTTTATTGACTCATGCAAAGTTACCCTGGTGTTCATTATTGATATGTTTTGCAATGCTCTCAAGAACAAACCATTTAATGAGGCCGAGTCTAATTATTTCTGCCCTAGGGATTTTGATAATTTTTTGATGATTAATTGTTACTGTTATATTTATTGTTTTAAGATTAAAAAATCAAATGTTTACCATCCCGATATCTTAGGGGGCCATCTCAAAAGTGGTCAAATTTTACTATTGGACCCTATGGGAATTTGTTAAAAAAGGCCCAAATTATCACATTTTTTCCATATTTTTTGTATTTCTGCCCTAGAGATTTCTTTTTCATTCAAGTATATGAAAGTTATTGTAAAAAGTCACCAAATAGTGAAATTTCAAAAAAGTTCATTATCTAGGTTGGTTTAGGAATTAAATTACTAAGTTTATTTTTTCAAAGCCCAAAACCTCTAAAATTGCCATATTACGGTATAAATACATATCAGTGCAGATGAATTATCGGCGCATATAATTTTTTTTGTAAAAATAGCAATGTTTAGATTGCTAGTATGTTCTTTGGATGTTCTGTCATCAGTTGTTAGTATAATATCCATGGATTTCTTGAACATACAAGCGAGTCATGTGTCATTCTTCAGCGTCATGCATTGCTTACAAAATCCGAAAATGGTTGTTAGAGCCATTTCAGCGTTTTTTCCAAATTATTGTCGTAAAAGCACACATTCAGACCAATAGGGTTTACAAATAATGTTAATTTTGTATTAAAATCAAAATATTTGGCAAAGGTGTACTGTCCACAAATGACTGAATGAAATTAAAAAGATGCACAAAGTCATGCGCACTCGAATTAGACTCGGCCTCGTTAACATAGCATAAGAAAATAATATCGTAAGTAGGAAATTTTCATCTCCATTCTATTTTCACCCCCTTCCATCCTCCTCAAAAGAGGGCAAATTCAAAACTAGTTGAATTCAAAGAAAACAGCAGTATCTCTTTAGCACTACTGTGTTGGGCAAAGTAAAAAATGGGCAAGATTAATTTCAAGCATAAAGAAAGAACTCGGGTCAATAAAAACCCTCTATACAGTATTTTTTGTTCCAAGTACAAACCAGTAGAGCTAGACTCATCAGAGATTTCTATTTGTAGAGTTTATCAACATGTTTTTGATAACATATACACCCCGCTCCAAACCGGCCAATTTTACTGGGGACTTGTATGCCTGCTCTAGTATTGAACCAAAGAGTATCAATGCCACGTCACAAACCGTCTTCTTTGAGTACCAGGTAATTACCTATCTACAGTTTCACAGTGCATCATGTCCTTTCAGATATCTCGGTATGAGGTGTCCCTATATTTTATGAATTTTGTCTGTTTATAGCAACCCATTCAGATCACCCTTGTTATCTTGGCGCTAGCGATGGTTCCGATGATGTTACTAGTGAAGCCTTTTGTCTTGAGAGCCAGACATAATGCCAGGGTCAAGGTTAGTATGTTACCATAGCAACAGGAGATGAAAGTTAAATAGAGTTAGGATTGTATATATAAATATCAAGGCATTAACCTTGACTTGGGTGTACAAGGTTAAGGTCTCTGTAGAGGAGAACTACAAACTGTACTTTAATTTCACATACAGGTACCTGGTACTTGTATCTTGTGTTGCTTAAGTGTACATTTGAATTGTTGTTTGTTTTTATCATAGCATGATAATTATACAGAGAATTCAGAATATTACAATTTTCCTTCTTTTTCTTCATTTTGAAGTGTGTATTTTCATATAAATCTATAATTGATGTCCAATAATAATAAATTAAGAATGCCTTATGATTTTTTTAAGGGGAGGGGGGTCTCAGTATTGCATGGATTTGTTTTAAATGATTTACCTTGTAATGTTTATAAAATTGAATTTTTTTTTTGTTTGATCATGTGACCTATGATTAGATCATGTGACCTGTAGTAAGTAAATTTGTACTTATATTGATTGTGTCACTTTGTACAGGCCAGTAATAGCGTAAGTATAGAGTATTGCTAGTCATGTAATAAGCTAGCTGTGTGTTTTCTTTTTTACAGAACAGGGGCTGTTAATTATTTTTTATGATTAATAAAGTTTTTATTATATTATCTGCATAATTTTATGCATTTACTTGCATATATGATTAGACATATCTTTGTGAAAAGGACATATCTGTTAATCAGATATGTAAAACTAAAGCTATTTTCTTGCCCTTTAACCAGCTTACATGCAGTTTAATATATACAGATAATTGATCACATTTCAAGGATGTAAACAAAAAGCAATAGGTACGCTTGCTCATATTAACACAGTCATTTTGCATTTTTGTGTGATATTTTTCAAATTTAAATGAATTGATTAAATTATATAGATCGAAATATAGGAAGCCTGTGAGGGAGTGTCTCATACAGAATTTATCAGAGAGAGTGGGGCAAGATATAAATCTCATACATTTAGTGTTGTGAGAAATATCATGATTCAATGATGGTGATGAGATACATATATACATATTGTAGAGCATCCGTGATATAATATCATATAGCGGTGGTGAGATAGGCATCTCGTCAGTTTGTAGTGAGATATACTGAGATGTAATCTCATCTTTAGTGGTGTTGAGATATTTCAGGATTTACTTATTGTGAGATATAATTGTACAAATCTTTTAATTTTGCACATACATGTACATATTTATCCGGATAGAGCTTTGCTATGAGAAAGAGCACAAATATGTTATTCATTTAAGAACAAAAATACATGGATTTGTCTAAGTATATTTGGATTTTTGAAAATACTTAGGAATGTTCATTCTATATTTTATTTTGAAATGCTTAAATGCCATTCAAATCTTCACACAATTTTCAGTAAATTTATCATGTTTTCATTCCTTTGATCCTACACTTAGATGCCTATGGGTTTGTGAAGCCCTTGCTGACTGGTCAGTTTTCTAGAATGACTATTTAATTCTTTTATAAAATTTACACAGCAAACCAAACAATGTTAAGTCAATCATTTTTATGAAGAAAAAAATCATGATTTTTGCACTAAGCACAGTTAAAAGGTTTAATTAAAGTCTTAAATTCTAGATACCAGACTGTCACATTCCTCACAGCCAAGACAAAGTTACAATATTTTGAATTATAATATGATCATTTCAAATTTATACAGCATATTATTATTATTATATTCATTCATCATTGATTCAGAAGGAAAAACTTCATAGCATGAACAGGAAATAGATCAGAATATCTCTACTGTTATTTTCAGGTTTATCAAGTAATTCTGTTTTCTGTATTGGATTTGTTTTTAACAGTAGAAAGCATGTTCTTTTTTGTTATTATATTTCAAAATCTTGGTCATTTATTATTAGAGTACAGTTATGTGTACAGTGTTTATGCTTCATCAGTTTTAAATTTATTAAGCTTGCAATTTTTCCAAAATATGAAGTATACTAGTCTCAAATTTCTGAATCAATTGAATTTAGATAAAGTGTATAATTCTGCATTTTATGATATTTCTTCTTCAGCGAAAACAAGGACTTTATGCCACTTCACAACGAACACTGATACACAACGAGGAACCACCAGATCAGGTAGGCATGGCAACCACTGTTACCATAGAAACCAAGTCAAGCTACAGTTAAATCATCACTGTCATACACTGTACCTCACTCCTTACATTACGTCCGGTTTGACAAGGTTGCAGTGGTTTTTAATATAAAACAAAAACACTAAAAAAATTTTAATACTTTGAGTCTAACAAGGGGCAGACTAATATCAGTCATTAGCTCATTAACAGCATGTAGAAGGAATGCCACAAGATGGGTTTCTCAGTGTCATCAATCTATTACCTTAAAAAAGATTCGAGTCAGTGATTTAACTCAAATACAAAAAGTTATTAAGTACTAAACTTTAATACTATAATCTGCAAAATTAAAACAAAATGTTTAAGGGAATGTAGGAGGGGAGAGGGGTTTTTAGGACTTGACCACCATTTTAAAAGTTGTCCTGAGGTGTGCCTGGGATGGTTTGTTTGTGTTAAGAATTGCATGGCTGCTGAGATGCATGTGAATTTCTTTTCTTGTGAAGATTTTATGATTTCCTTATGTGTTTAACATTGGCTTCCTGCTTTTTTTCTAAAATCATCGTATTATCTGTCATATTGTTTATTTATTGAATTTTTCTTTAAATTATCGCAAAAAATTATATACATTTTTGTGGTCTGCATGTTTTTAAACAGCTGTTGTATGTTAATAGAGTTGTCGCCAGTCTATAAGGGGAGTCCACCATGCTGTTTTCTGTGGGTAGAATTTTATTAATTGATGTGAATAATAATTTCGCAGGTTACTTATGAGGAAATTTTATTAGTGTATTAAAATCTTATTGAGGAAATCCCAAACTCTGAAAATTTTGAGTGGTGTGGAAATAAAATGAGTGATAAATTTCATAGGCCCCTGTAGTAGACTGTAACCAGAATTCAGACTGGTGGGCCCTCCACTTTTAACACCCCCTGTACTTAAGCTTCAGTCTGATTTTTTTGCCTTTTCGCCTCTAGTCAGATGACACTAAAGGGGTTAAGGGGGAGAGACCTGAGGCCCATCTCTCTGACATTGAGCTTGGGGTAAGTTTTCGGGTGTGTTTGCGGATTCACCATTCATAGCTTAGTCCAGAATGTCAAGTTGCAACATTTAAGAAAAGGGATAACATTAACAAAATTTTTTTTTAGTTTTATTGAGTCGGGGCTCAACTTATCTTTTCTGATCATGTATGTCCAGCATCTGCCTGTATGGTACATTTTCAGTTTTATTTATGGATCCATACAATCGATTCAATCAAAACAGAAAGGTGCTGTCAGTTTCAGTATCCAGGCAATATCTTTCCTGAAAATCCAAATTAAAATATTTTAAATTTAGCGCTCATCGATTTTACTGAACTCTTAGTTTTCACCTCAAGATTGAAATTAAAGTAACCTACAGAATGCAGTCCAATTAATGATTAATCAATTCTGCAACTTAAACCAATGGTTCAGATATCTACGTGTATGTTTTATTTTGGCCACGTACAGCACTAGCTCAATTATCTTTTTAAAAGATTTGCTTGTTAACCCTTTACACTTTTGAATAACAACATTTGCCGTAGTAGATGAACAATATCACAATTAAGGCCCCTGACACCAGAGAGGGGTATATTTGTAAGTCTTGTTTTGCTGTAAGAGTTACCCGGTGAGCTTTGTGGCCCAGAAGCCTCTTGGTCTGATGTAACATTCCAGGATTAGAGAATTACTGAATTACTTACAACATACCTTTTTCAGTGCATGCTTATGGAAATTTCTATCACTGTCAATTATTGATGCATGGAAAATTATTATGTTCTTTTGTACAGTACATATAATGTATTGTACCTTATTTGCAACTTGACTTCTTTGTAATCTACCAAATAACCAAAGAAAACTGTCTTCCTGCTTTAAGGGAGATGTATATACATGTATTATGTATTCATATTAATCTGTATACTCAGAAGACACTTAGCTGCTGCTTGCTTTTTTTTCTGTACAACTATAGGTCATGTTTACATGAAATAAACATTAGACTGTGTATTCTAACTTAAGGTGATGGAGAATTTTGCATGAGAGTTATAATTGGGAGGGTCAGTTGAATAATAAGGTCAAATTCTTCAGTGTAGTCACTTGATATGAAGAATTTTGTAGCATTCAGTAGTTCTCCCTTGCATTGCAGAAATATATATATCCCCTGTATTTATTAAAATACATGTATATGTTATTTAGACAGTATAAACAATACTATTCTGCACCCTGTAAAAAAGTTATAGTTCCACATTGTATTGAGGATGTTACTAGCAGCTAATGTATTATTTTCTTTTATACTTTGAAGTTACTTTAGAAAGTTATATACGGTTTATTCATTTTGTTCAATGTAAAACTGATCTTTTGATTGACTTATCACTGGAGCATGTGAAAAAAGCTTATTAGTAGACAATATACTCAGACTTGTGTACATGTATTAGCAAATTTAGTCTAGTCAAGTTTTCTTTTCAGGTGTGTGTTGCCTTTCACATTAATAATATGCATTTGCTAACCAAAGATTTCATACTGCAATGCACACATTGCCTTGCATAAAGTGATATAAATGTATTTTCATATGGGACATCTACATGTATTTTTCTAAAATTTTGACATGAATTTTGTTTCTACCCTCCGGTTCATTTTTACTCAGGACACTTATTGTTCAAGTCCTAATCTGTTGGTGAATTTTGATGTATTCAGGTTCGAGATTCTGGGAAGAATGCGAACATGTCAATCAATGGAGAGGAAGAAGTGGGTGTGGTCAATCACACGGAGGGTGGGGCTACAGTTCATGAGGAGGAGGAGGAAGAAAAGGTCAGATTCTTATATTTTATCCAGCAGTCAACCATTTTATTTTTATCCAAATTAATTAAGAGTTAGTTGTAAATGATAAAAACAAAATTAAAGAACATTAGGTATTAAGAAATATACATTTCAGGTTAGCATTATAGCCTATGTGCCTTGATTTCAGTTTGAGATGGGAGAGGTCTTTATACACCAAGCCATTCACACGATAGAGTACTGCCTGGGCTGTATCTCACACACTGCCTCTTACCTACGACTGTGGGCACTTAGTTTGGCTCATGCTCGTATGTATTCATCTTCATTCTCAGTCTGGCTCATGCTCTTAAGTACTCGTCTTCTTCAGTCGTCTTCGTCTTCAGTCTCAGTCTGGCTCATGCTCGTAAGTACTCGTCTTCATGCTCAGTCTGGCTCATGCTCGTAAGTACTCGTCTTCATGCTCAGTCTGGCTCATGCTCGTAAGTACTCGTCTTCATGCTCAGTCTGGCTCATGCTCGTAAGTACTCGTCTTCAGTCTCAGTCAAGCCATGCTTATACGTACTTATCTTCATTCTCAGTCTAGTCCATGCTTGTATGTACAAAGTCTCATAAGCTAGTTCATGCTCATAAAATTACATCTTCAGTCTCAGTACCACCTGTGTCTGCAGTCAATTAGTTTCTATCTTCAAACCTTTTTGTACAAAATTAATTTTTGTTTTTCTGCTGTTATCTTATTTTAAACAAATGTTGTTTTGTTCCAGAGTTGTCTGAGGTGTTGTGGGGGATGTTGTTTCACATCTCCCTCACGATGGACTTTGAGTACGTGGGTGGAGTGGTTATTTGGGCGGTGTTTGCTGTCTTTGCCGGGGTGACCGTTGCTGTACTTCTCTTGATGGAGGGACTCTCGGCTTTCCTTCATACGCTCCGTCTTCACTGGTAACTCATTTAATCAGTACTTTTACAGGATCTTTTACTTTTCAATTATGTCAGAACTAATTATGTATTGAGAGACAAATCATTCTACAAACAGTTATGATTATTATTATTTACCATGTAACCATTAATAAATACTCCATGTTTTTGATGCTTTCTTTAACAGGGTGGAGTTCAACAGTAAATTCTACATGGGGGAAGGTTATAAGTTTGCTCCCTACAGCTTCAAGCACCTGCTGGATGCTGACCTGGATGAATAACGGGAACCACGTCGTATAATTCACGGAACAGGACCATGACTACTGTAGACCATTCCTTCTTTATCTCATTATAATGGGCTTCCAATTTTGTGATTTGAAATGACTTGATGTTGAAATTCTTAGTTTAAACCATTTGATAGGTGCTTAATATTGAAGAAATGTTTAACAAGTGAGTGAGATACAAATATTGTCACAGTTTTTCTGTTTCACATTTTACCTATTGACATCAACCATAAGAACAAGTCTTTTTTTCAAAAAAAAAAAATTATAAACCTTTTTACATATGAGATATTGATTATTGCTGATTTTGACCAATGAAACATAAGCTGCTGATTTTTGTATACTGCACTTTTCGGTATATGATGATTGGTCTTGTATGTCACATTAACAGAGTTTTTCTGATGATATCGGTGTTTACTGTTGACTGGAATCCTGCTGTTAACTTGTTAAATCTAGGTCACAGACATTCAAGGCTGATCCAATGATACACTGAGAATGTCTGGAGTAAAAATTGTGTCTGTGATTATATATTTATCATGATATTGAATAAAAAATATTTTCTGCATCATGTTTTTTCCTTTAATACTCAAAATACATGCAATTTTATTATTTTCTGACTAAACACACATATTATGCAGCTAATACAATATTTTTTGTTTTTATACTATGCATATTAAAATAGAAAAGGTATGATGGTATTAAAGAAAAGGTTATTGTTACAAAATATTAAAATGGAGGAAGAAATAATTTATTTTTTGGGAGTAATTTGTTCAAAGGTTTCGATACTACTTTCATAGAAGGACTTTCCTAGTTGAAAAATTTGGGGATTTAGGCGAGTGTTAGTCCAGTACTTCTTCATGTCTAACATACAGTATATGTCCTTTTCAGATCAATACTTAAATCGGGAAACCATCACAAACAATTTTCAATTTGAAAATAATCGGTACAAGTAGTATCGAAGTAAAAAACCATTACATCCATTTGAATGCAAATTCACATACACTTTGACAAATATTATGGTTTTTTATTACATCCATTTGAATGCAAACTTTTTCACATACCAAACTTGGTACAAAGCATCTTGGGTAAAGGGGAATTTAAATTGTTTTTTGCTCAAGAAAAGAGAAAAATAGATAAAAAATTTTCAAGAACCACTAGCAAATTTGGAAGCATCCGAGTTCATTGTTCAAATCATCGGGGCCAAAAATCAATTAAACAAAGCAAAGTTCTATATAGAAATATATAGGAAAAATTTTTGAAAATCTTCTTCTCAAGAACCACTGGGCCAGAAAAGCTGAAACTTATGTAGAAGCATCCTGGTATAATGTAGATTCTAAATTGTGACCCCCGGGGGAAGGGCGGGGCCACAATGGGGAATCAAAGTTTTACATAGAAATATATAGGAAAAAAAATTTTGAAACGTAAAAATTAATCAAATCATGACCCCCGGGGGAAGGGCGGGGCCACCAAAATTTTACATAGAAATATATAGGAAAAATCTTTGAAAATCTTCTTCTCAAGAACCACTGGGCCAGAAAAGCTGAAACTTATGTAGAAGCATCCTGGTATAATGTAGATTCTAAATAAAATCAATGGGGAACAAAGTTTTATGTAGATATACATAGGAAAAATTCAAGAACCACTGGGCCAGAAAAAGTGAAGCTTATGTGGAAGCATTCTGGGATAGTGTAAATTCTAAATTGTAGGAATCATGACCCCCGGGGGAAGGATGGGGCCACAATGGGGTATCAAAGTTTTACATAGAAATATATAGGAAAAATGAAAATCTTCTTCTCAAGAACCACTGGGCCAGAAAAGCTGAAACTTATGTGGAAGCATGTCAATGAATAGATTTAAAACAAGGGTTCTATATAGAAATATATAGGAAAAATCTTTGAAAATCAAGAACCACTGTTTTTGGAAGCATTCTGGGGTAGTGATTTTATTGTAGGAATCATGACCCCCAGGGGAAGGGCGGGGCCATTATAGGGGAATCAAAGTTTTACTTAGAAATATATAGGAAAAATCTTTGAAAATCTTCTTCTCAGGAACCACTGGGCCAAAAAAGCTGAAACATATGTGCCCATGGAAGGATCATGGGGTAGTGTAGATTTCAAAATGTCTAAATTATGATCAGAGGGGTAGGGTGGGGTTGCATTATGTATAACAAGGGGGAAATCTGGTAAAGAACAGAATGGTCAAAGCTTCTCAGGTGAGCGATGTGGCCCATGGGCCTCTTGTCATTTCCCCAATCATTTCTCCTCCAGATGTCAATGAATTTTAACAAGGGGAGACGTTGTTTTTGTCGATTTTCTTCTTCTTCATCAAAATTTTGTCCAGACCGTAACATTGACCTGAAGACTTCAAACTTGAAACATAGATAGATGACCTTGGGACAAAGTGTACGCCACGAAAATTTTTGACCTTGATATATTTGTAAGCTCAAGGTCAAACTTTTACATCAAAATAGAGTTCAGTCTATAGCTTGAGTACCCTTTGATATTAGGGCTTCAAACTTGTAATATAGAAAGAAATTGAAACAAGATGCACTGCACCAGAACTTTGACCCCTTTCTTCAAGGTCGAATAGAGAAAAAAATTATTATTTGACCATAACTTGAGAACAAGTAAAGAAAACATTTAGACTGAATGCACTGCATCAAATTGACCTTGACCACTTTCTTCATTCAAGGTCAAATTATCAAAACAAGAACTGGCCATAAAACTTAGACAAGCTCACTTTTGATCTGTCTCACTTTTCCACTATTAATTCCTTTGGTAAAAGTGAGACTGAGATCAAAAGTGAGCTAGTCTTAGTTTTATGGCCCCAGGCCCACATCGTAACTTAAGTTCCTTTTGATTTAAAGACATAAAAGATGCACTGCCTTGTTATTTTTTTTAGCCCTGATTGTAAAATTGCACTTGTTATTGCTGGTAAAGAAGGGGAGACGTGTATTTTGCCAAAAAAAAACAATACCCACTAATTTGATCTGCAATTGCATTTGATAAACACATTCCACTTTCACTTTCACAAATTTTAATTTATCCTTATTTCTTTAGAATTAAGTATAATAAGAATAATGTATTAATGAATTATATTACATTCATAATCCAGATAATTAAGAGTAAAATTGTGTGAGAGCAAAACCCTCTCACTTAAGTATTGTCAGCCCTTTCTCAGTGTTGTGTAGTTGTGTACACACTTCACCTGTGTACAAATTGAATACACCCATGAATTGTAAACTGTATTTGTAAACAAGGCCCAAGCTCTGTCCATCTTCAAGTTTCACCAGGTGAGTTCAATTGTTAAACTCTGAGAAGAGACCAATGAGTACAGACTGACAATACTCAGGAGAGAGGATTTTGCTTTCTACATTTCTACTCTATAACTTCTGGATTATGGTTTTAATATTTTTCATCAATACAAAACAAAATTGCTACTTTAAAAGATTATGGATAAAGTTTAAATGTGTGACAAAGCAAGGATGTGTCTATAAAATAAGATATTTATTATATTTTGAAATCAATCAGAAAATTTGAGAAAATATTAACTTCAAATGTGTCTAAGCACCTTTAAAATATTGAATGTCAAGGCCTGAATTGATCACAAGTGCTCTTAAAGAAAACCATCAACAATTTAAACTTTAATTTGGTTTGGGTCATATGAATCCAAATTGGAGCCACACTTATGATCATTGGTCTGAAGTTTGTCTGAAATTAACCATGTACTTTGCGAGCTAAAATAAAAGTGTTTTTGACAATGTTTAAATTGGATAAGAAAGACCTCGTTGTGCAGGGAAATTAAAAATAAAATATAAATGTAACTTATTTCCCATCAAAACCCCCCAAAAATATCAATATTGACAGTTTACCAAAAGGAAACTGAACCTTTAATTAAAAAACTTGTACAATACAATGCATAACTTGGAATTGATTCATATAACCATGTATTACGTATTTTTATATGCTGTATATTTTGGTCATGTATTTTTCTATTTTAAGCACAAGTATTCAGAATCCAAAATCAAATGTTTGTATATTGAGTTTACAGAATCCCATATAATAAAACGAAAGTTTTGTGTCTTCACCACATAATAGCTTCATATCACAAAACATGATTTCATGTCATAAAACAAATTTGTTTGCTGATAATTAATAGCACTTCATGAATCAAAATGGAGCTTCTCTGAACACAGTCCTTAAATAACAAGCACTGATTGATCAATAACGAGGATGGCATTCTGGATTCCCGATGAGAATCGGATTGGATACAACACTACAGGCAGGCTTTGATGTCTATCATTGTCCCGCCCTATCTCCTCAGAGAGAGGTCTTTATCACAGAAATAGATGCCATTAGCTGTACGGTCAGTTCCGGGCTGAGGAAACTGTCCCTGGGGCGATGGACATCTCCCCTCCCTGACCTCCATCTCGGGGAGGACTCTGCAAAATATAAAACTTCTCATCAAACTAGGCTTAACCAAAGTAATACTGCACAAACCTGAGGTCAGAAAAGACAGTTTTCTCAACTTGCTGCTATTCAAAATAGTCTGCATTAGTTGGCAAAAAAAATATTCTAACACCTTTTTTATCCCAGCACTTGTATTTTGCTCATTTAAAATAAGACAGATAATAATTATATTTATCCTGCCTCTGATAAAAATATTGAAATTTCATTGGTTGAGAAGAATACTGTATTAACTATGTTATGCTGGCTAACCTCTGTAGACACTTTGAGGTGTAATAAAGGAATACATGGTGTCCTTGAATAAATGCATGTTTGGCTGATCTTAAGCCTTGCCCAATATGCATTTTTTCAAGGACCATGTATATTTCCGTATTGCCCCTCTAAGTGTCTACATAACTAATATCTTTTCTGATTCTGAACAGAATTAAATACTACAAAATGCTGATCACCATTTATAGTTAAAACTACTATCACTTACTTTTACATGGATTTGATTTCGTAGCATGGCAGATCTCAATATCAAAGCCTGTGAAATAAATATTTGTAAAGATTAATATTTTTATACATATGTACATTGCACATAAACATTTTTAAAAACATAAATACAACTTGGAACAACTTATCTGAATCTATCATTTTAAAGATTGTGCAAATGTAAAGTGTACCTTCGTGCGTCGCTGATACTCTTTGCCCATGGCAAATGACTTCTCAAATGTGGAGCTTCTCTGGTCTGTGTCTTTTGCATATAAAATCTAAAAACCAACACCAAGGTAATAATTACTAGGTCATGATATTAATTAACTTGAAATTGTTGACTTTTATTGTTTCAAAATTCACTTTATCACAAGTAATCACATTGTCCAAACAAGGACACACACAGATGAATTGTGCAAATAAATTATAATAATAATAACAAACTTATAATGAGGGCTTAAATATTAATTGGTTCCCTGACCTTGTTGTGGGAGTCGATTCGGGCGTTGATTTGTCCGTCCAGAATCAGCTGCATGATCTCGTCCTCCAGAGCCGGGACCGTTGTGTTAAACGCTTCAGCCATCTTCCTCATGTCAGCCGATAAATATGGACTAAAGTACTGAAATCAGCAAAACAGCAGCTGGTCACTACTTCTTAGGTGAATATATCACTTTTATTATAATGTATTTACTGTAGAACAAGGCTTCATACATTTGTGAATGTCAGTTCATAGACAAAGATTTGGCATGGAATTGGGTCTGAAGAAACATCAGAGGTTATTACAACATACAACTTAAAAGATGAAATTCTACATCCCAAGTAGATTAAACGTTATTTAAGCTATGAATTTTCTGTTAATGATGCATATAAAAGCATCTTTTCAGTGTAAGATGAAGGGTTAAGTACAAATTAAGAAGTAATCTACTCACCTGACATAATGCTCTATTTCTAATTTGTGTATACAGGACGTTAACATGTGGAGCTAAATACATATCCAGTAGTAGATTATCCTGTAAACAAAAAGGTCAGAGGTCAGGGGGAAATCCCAACTAGGAAACACATCAATTCCCAAAATATTTGACATTTCTTAAAAAAAGACATCATAATAATGCTTTTGAACATGCCTCATTTCTCAGAACAGATTCAATATAAATAAGAATAAAGTGAAGTCTTACCTTAATTTCTCCTAAAAGTTTCAAACAAGATGCATACTTTGATTCATAAAACTTGTGGATTATGTCTCGAAGCTGAGGTTCTAATTCTAGGAATAATTTAAAGGAGCTGAAAAGGAATGAAGAATATTGTAATGAAGCTTGAAGTAACATACATATATTGTGAAGTGTATTCGCTTCCATAACTTTTATCATTCACAAAAAGATTTCTCTGTACATTTACATAACATTTTTACATTAAGCTATTGATAAATCCCTACCTGCTAGATATAACATTTTTCTGTAGTTCTTGTCTATCAAATGATGCCAGAGCACAGAGAGCACCATAGGTAGCAACATTACAGGGGGATAACAGCTGAAACAGACAGAATTGTATGTAACCACAACACAAAATTATCAATATTTATATTTGTATACATGTATGTCAGTCACATTGTACTTTTTTGTAGGTTTTTAAATGAAAACTTTGTTTTATGACTGGATAAAATTTAATAGTCTTTGACTTAATTTACAATCAAAGAAGATAAATTGTACCTCTCAACTAAGTCAATGAAGATATATCAACTTTTATTTTACCCTTCTTCTGATTAATGTCAAAATAAATGATATAAACATCATAATTATCTACAATGCCTTACTTCTGGAAAGTCACAGTAGTCAAAGTTTGCTTGTAGGAAATATTTGGCAGCAGATTTGTATTTCTTTGTGGCTAGGTCAGCTAATCCTGCAGCACACTTTAACTTGGTCATCACAGTCTGTCCTGAATCCTTCCCATGCTGCTGAAAAAAGTACAGCGATCATCAGAAAGAAGCAGGGAATTTCACAGAATAAACTTCATTGTGAACTCAAACAGTATTACTGGGTAGTCTAATATATAACATTACTATTCCAGTGTGTTTGATATCAAGTGCATATGTAGTTCACAGTACTTTCTGATTCAGTAAAAGGTGGCAAGAGGCAATCTATGACCATTTAAATGATCGAATTTGTTGCCTCACATTTCATAATTGGCATCATAATTTACTAAAATAGGTCTAAAACAGCCTGTTCTAATGGGGTTTTTTTTCTTCTCTTCGCTTAAACATTCTATATGTAAGCACCTAAGTTCATACTAATTAAGATCATTCTGAATTTGCAGTGAATTTTTACAATCACCATTCATAGAAAATATCATATTTGGCACACTGTAACCAGCACAAAAGGTGCTTTACGATAAACATTTAAATACAAAGTATGAATGTGATGTAAGTATACAAACCTCTGTCATTTCTGGCGTACTTTCTGCTTTGTTGACGTAACTCTGGACATGTGACCAATTTTGTAAATATACACTAACCTGTTCAATTATAAAGTCTACTATAAAGTTACAGTACATTTTTAGCAATATACACGTAGGTGTTATCTTTTTCATTGAGAACTTCATGTATTTTTGTCCTAGATCATAAACAAGAAGTTCTACAACTGATTACTACACAGATCTGAAAGCATGGATACGTCTTTTTACAACTTATTACAAAATATCAGGAATCATCTTTTAATGAAGGACTACCTTTATGACATTAAGACACATGTTGACCACATGTTTAGGACTTGTACAGTAATCCCTTGCTCTAGAGTAGCACTTCAGTGCATTGCTTAGGTCTCCATAATCTAAGTAATGATCTCCCAGGTCATCATGGCCTCGTCTGCAAAGATATTCTTATGTTTAATCTTAGCTTTTAGCTTTGACTCTTGTTAATATTCCCAATAAATAGAAACTATGGCACATGAAATGTCATTATTTGAAAATTTATTACATGTTTATAAAGCTAGATATTTTCAAACACATATTATAAACTACCACTTTTTGTATCTTTGGCCAATTTCATACCTGAGAATCATGATTTGAAAATTGACTAACCTTATACTCTCTTTAATGGAGTTACTTTTATAGTTTTTTAGGTCTGTGTCCAGCTTTTCCAGTTTGAGGGCGGCTTTTTTTGATGTGGTCTCTATCCACTGTGTGTCTAGATTTGGAACGTTGTGAATGGCTCCTGCAACAGCATCAGGAAGGCTGGAGGACCTAAACACACAAACAAAAATAACTATGAACAAAACTCAGGAACACTGATATTCCTTGAAAATGCAAAACACATATAAGACAACAGTCACAACATATACTTAATTAAAAAACTTTTACAAACAATCATTCACAAAGAAAGTACTAACGACGTGACTGCCTCCTGAAGTTTACGATGGATCTGTTGATACAAACTTGTGTTGTAAGTGTTCATGACATATGCCAAAGCCATTCTTAGCGCCTCCACTCTAAGCATTGGACAGTGATCAGCAATAAATAAGAGTCTGTTCAATTTTGCTAAACCACTGTATTGGGCTGCATACTGTTCCAAGTCCTACAGAAAAAAACAGGTTGATATAATTAGAAAGATCACTTATTTACACTTATTGTGACTAAAGGATTAAATCATTTTCTTTATATTTTTACTTTTTGTTATTAATGAAGACTTCATTGACTTAGATATGTTCATGTTATTCTGAACGTATGAAGATACCAGTGTTGTGTTCTCCACCACATATCGATCCTCCTCCACATTGTCATTTTCTTCTGGTTGAGCATCAACCTGCATGGGCTCTATGCCAACCTTTAAATTAGTTAAAAATATTTTATTCATCAAAAATACAAATTTGTAACAAAGCTAGTGCAGCAAGCAGCCCATAGTGCTGCTCATCATTACGAGCTTTTAAAACAATGCCTGGGTGAATAGAAATTTCAAACTCTGCACATTAAACCAAATGATATTTTTCCACAGTTACCTGTGGACCCATAATCCTTTGAAAAATGCATCTTGTCGCAAACTACGTTCTAGCCCTCACCACAGTTAGAATGCCTCCCATATACTCACAATGTAACTTCCAAATACAGAATATCGCGAGTACCCGCAGTTATCTAACTTACTATCGCTCTTTTGCAGGGAAGTCAAGAAAGCTCTAAATCTCAAGATTTCCAGGGCACATGACATTGTTTACAGTTGGGACAATCGAATGATTTGAACAATTTTATGCCGAAAGTACAAAGTATTGCCAAGATTGAACTCCAAATAGCAGATTGTCAAATAAGGAAAGTTAAGAATATTTTATAAATTAACAGTTTTAAAATATGATGATTTTCAATGAAAATTCATTGAGAAGAGTCCGCTTAGATAACAAGAGATGTTTGTAAAACACTTATGCCCCCCTCCCCCCAAAACTAGAATTTTTCCAAGTCCAGAGGGGCATAACTCTGTCAAAAATGGTGCAATCATACCCAAAAAAGAACTTGGCCTAGATATTCATCTGATTAATCTGTATACTAAATTTCATTTCAGTATGTGCAACCTCTCTGAAGAAAATGAAAGGAAACTGCAGATAATTGGAATTTTTTAAAGTCCAAAGGGGCATAACTCTGTCAAAAATGGTGCAATCGTACCCAAAACAGAATTCGTCTGATTAATCTGTATACTAAATTTCATTTCAGTATGTGCAACCTCTGCAAAGAAAATGAACAGAAACTGCAAATAATTGGAATTTTTCTAAGTTCAAGGGGCATAAGTTGATAACTCTGTCAAAAATGGTGCGATCGTACCCAAAACAGAACTTCCAAAAGCACTAAATTTCATTTCAGTATGTGCAATTAAAGAAAGTGAACGGAAACTGCAAATAATTGGATTTTTTTTAAGTCCAAGGGGCATAACTCTGTCAAAAATAGCGCAATCAAACCCAAAACAGAACCTGACCTAGATATTGATTTGATATACCTGTATACCAAATTTCATTTCAGTATGTGCAACGGTTGTGAAGAAAATGAACGGAAACTTATTAATGGACCGACAGACCGACATACCGACCGACCGACCGACAGACAGCAGCAAAGCAATATGCCCTCCCTTCTTCGAAGGGGGGCATAAAAATATCGTTATAAATGTAACATTTTAGGATTAGCTCCTCTCAAAAATTGATTAGGCTGGTTCAGCAATTCTTTAGCAAGGTATTCCACCAGGATTTTAAACTTACCTGACTTATAAATTCTACAATGGTCGATCTTGCATTCTATTCAATAGCACATTTGCCCCTATCCAACAGACACTTCCTACCTCCATCGCAAAAGAGTTCTGCTAGGTAAAGTAATTGCGATATCAAGTATTAATTACAACAAATCTCTTTGAGGTTGCGTATGCCTTTAAAACCTAAAACATAATCCTACTAATTTTCTCAATGATTTTTTTCTCGCTTCAAATTTACACATCATGTGTAATTTGGAGTTTTCTTGATTGTTTGTACTTGTAGTAAATGCACTGAGTTCGAGTTATTGCCCAAGACACCCATGTTTATTTTGCAACATTGTGAATACACGGAAGGAATTCTATTATTAAATGTAAAATAGGACATTTGTCATTTTAACGATAAAACATTCTATCTAATAGCAGATTAAACATTTTGGATGGTCAGACTTCAATTTTGTAATGCAACATACATATGACGTCTTGTAAGATCAGTGTCTATACTTGCAAATGGCACGTGCAGTTTGGCGAGCCCAATCTAAATTTAAACTGAATAATTATCTGCACTCTTTCTCTAATGGTCTAACCACCGACAATGGGGAAAATGTTTATATATTTTGGAGGAAATTCGGGTGGCAATACTTATCGTCAGTGAATCACTATTTTTCACTTTCATATTAAATTATTACCGGTAGGAAAAGTCATGTTATATCTGTTACAATAAAATTCCCCAGTATCAGTATGTTTCTACCATTCAATTCTTACAAGAAAGTGATGAACAACATTTTATTCCGCCATCTTCGGCTTGTCAAATCTGAGAAAAAGTTTAAATGACAGCATCTTAAAGTCGCACATGCTTTTAAAATGCATCTATTACATAGCACATATATTGATTCGGTGATAATTTATTTTCTGCAATCGTCTGAATAGACATAAAACAGTGAATAACCTGTAAAAATCCTGGTTGAATCGGCAACGGCATTTTCCCCGGAACTGATAATCTTCAATAGAGAGCATGCGTAAAATTCTAATTTTAAAAGTTAAACCGAAATATTGTTCCGAAATAAAAATTGCACATGGGGGTGTTCTCAAAACCTCCTTTAATTCACTTTTGCCATACGGAGTAAAATTGACATGAATTTGCAAATTTTTTTAAAAGAAAAAAATGAACATATTCTTCACTACTTTATTAATTAGTAATAACCAAATAAGAATCAGTAAAGCATTTTCTCCTTTTGTTGTACATGGGTTTTTCATTTTCATTTAAAATATGACACAAAATTAGATTATTTAAATTCGCTGACAATTTTCTGCAAACTTTTTTTTTTGGATTTAGTGCTTTCAGAGAAACTAGAATATGTCAATTAAAATACAAGAAAGCTTCTTTATATGCATTTTTTAATTAAAATTGCACAGAACACGTATAAGCTTCACTATCATAATACTCAGTCATTTCAAAATGCCACTTCTATGCGTATGCTTATCGCCCATCAGGCTATTCTTGTAATTTACTAATATTAGAAGTTTAGAACGTGTACATTTTATATGGAAAGTTTTCTTCCCTCTACAGTCAAACAATGGAATATCTTGCCAGAATGTATTAGGCATAATAATACCCCAGGAATATGTTCATTGAAAGAGTCTTTTAAAATACTATTTTTGCAAAAAAGCAATGAACGTCTTCATTTTTGGAATTAGAAAATAATATGTTTTACGGTGTGACCGTTGGGGCGAGCGCAGTTCATTTACTATCATAAACCTACACATGTACTGTCTATCATTCAAGAAAAAGAAAGCAAAAAGAATAAAACAATAAAAAGACATCATTTCCCAAGCATCGGGATCGAGATTCCAAACTCCTCGGAAGTTTCCGACAAAATCGGAAATACCCGAACCGTTGAAGTGACGAAAGTATGACGTCAGATAAAAAGTTCTGTTGACTTAGGACGCAAACGCTAGTTTTATGGAAAAAAGATTGCATTAAATCGTTCTTTTCAAGTAAGTTGTTGCTATGTTTTAGCCACCATGTTGCTATGCACCGCAACATGTTTTCCGAGTTTCACGGAAGCAACCGACATAACTTCGTCAAAATTCGTAAGTTTCCGGTGACGTCATTTGTATCATTTCCGAAGGGCAAGGTGAAGGCCGGGGTTGTGGCATGGGGGTATTTTTTTGAATAAGGTAAGGCAAAATCATTTCGTTAAGATTTCGGTAAGAAACAATGTTCCTTTAATTTTTTTTACTATTTTTTATTTATTCGCGCAAAGGACATTGGGTAGTGCAGGAATTCTGGGAATATTGCACAGAGAAATTTGGCTGACGTATGTACAGATTTCAATCCGAATTTCCTCTGTTCATACACGTTAGTCTATTGAGCTCGCTTCGCGAGCGTCGCGACGCTCGCTGCGCTCGCTATAATCGAACACATTGTCCGATAAGGAATAATACTAGTAATTTGATGGCAGATTTATAAAATCAATGTTAAGCAGAAACTCCAATGTGTGAACATTGTACTAATTTTTTTTTGTTTGCTTGTCAAATATATATAATTTCAAGAGATATACTGACTTTTTCAGTCAATACATAATATTAAAATTGTGATAATTTCTCTGTGATTTGCTGTTAAATGGTATTCCTAATTTTGGACTTAACATTTATATTTGAAGCTGTGTGAATATTTCCAAACAGTTACTACTTTGTATTTTTGTCCATTTTTCTCAATAAATTTGCGTCTTTTTTCTTTAACCTTTTTCTTTTTTGTTTTCTTCTTTAGTACATCCAGGGACGTATATATACACAAACGTTTATAGGTTCCTCATATACCGGTACATCCTTCTTATTTTGTTTTTTAAATATTCTTTACATGTATTTTGTATTTACTTTGACTATGATGTGGGGAGAATGCTAAAATAGACTGAACCTGCTGCCCAATCCTATTCACTTGTAGATCTGTGAATAAAATCTTGTTTAAATTAATACATGAAATGTATTTTAGGGCATTCCAAGTTTTTTCTATGTTTCGCGTCCACGTGCGCCTTGGTTTTTGACACCCCATGTCAGAAAAAACAAACAGAATCAGGAGTCCAAAAATTTATTATTCAGGTCAAAATTTGTGATTTCCAGCAATATCTCTAAATATTTGTATAATATACATTTCATTATTGGAATAGTTTCAGTATTTAATACCTTGATTTTGCTGAAGAAAATAACTTTCTTTATGAAAAATAGTGAAATGAAAACATATCTTTTGAATTACGTCATTCTTATTGCTATAAAATATGTGTTTTATTTTTTTGACATGTGTGTTTTTTGCGAATAGGTAGCTAGGTTTTTGAAAGATGAGTGGACGCTAAACAGAGAAAAAACTTGGAATGGCCTTATCTTACCCGATGTTATTTTTTTTTCACAGAGTGTCACCGAAATTGGTTGTTATTCAGTTCATGCAAAGTTTCCAGTATCAGCTCCAACTGTAGGAGCACGTGTTATGGGGTTAACTCCCAGCTCCACGCTTAGGGACTTTCAGGGTTATTAAATCTTAACATATTAACCAAATTGTGACCTTGTCACCCCTAAGAAAATCAACCCCTTGGTTCGTTTTGTAAGAAGACACATGCGCATCAATTTGAAGTTACTTGTCACTGAGAAGTGCTATCCCCCCCCCCCAATTTCCAGCACACGACACCAGTTTTCCCATTTTGACATTTTTTCCCCTTATCTTAATAAAATTTCTATGATTTTATAAGGGGGGAAAATACGGCTTTGAGCCACCCACGAGTCTCTTTAAAATGTCAATTAGAGTAAAATTATCTTAAAATTGAAAGGATGTATTTTATTCAGTAATGTAAACCTCTACTGTCTTTTCTATTACCCCCTTCCCTTCCCCCCTCGAATCCCACTGTGGGATGTGGAGATCAGTCCCTCGGATCAGATACCGTTAAATTCTTAACTGCTTAATGGCTGTAAGTGCCGATTATAGAACAAAATTTGCAGCTCTCCACTGGCAAGTGGTGGCTTCTATGAGTAAAAATCTATCAGTAAAAGATTCTCGAGAGGGACGTTAAACAACATACACCCACTCACCCAACCCCTAAAATATGTAAATTGATGAAAGTTTTCACCATGCTATAAAATCATCTAGCTATAGAATAGCATAGAAACTTAACTTAATTAAAGTTAATTTATTCTTAGCTTCTCGTATGAGGAATATTTTGCTTCTTGAGGAAACCAACAACAGCGATTCATCACTAGTAAATCAATTTAATTCTTAAAAATGCTTCAGGCATGATCGGCCACAAAAACATCGATGGACATTCTGAATGAGATTTAAGTCCACGGTAAAAGTAATGAAAATCCGAGATCTATTAAAAAGTACTTGAACAATATTTTGTTAAACCATTGAAAACGTAAAATAGGCAATAATCTACAGTTCTAATTCAAAAGATGGCCAAACAAGATAAGTGTTGAAAATGAAAGTTGTGGGTTAAGTACTAGTATTGTTAGAATGAAACTTAAAATGTCCCATTGAAGGATACAACGTCGTATACATTAACAATACTTTTATGCATTTTTTAAAAAACTTGATTTCGACTTTTATGTAGAGAGAAATATACTTAAAGGGGCATGGACACAGTTTCAACTGAATTTTTTAAACTGATTTTAATGTTTACAATTCCTACCCAAGGAATCATCTAATGATCAGCAAAAATTTGAACATCATTTGTTGATTAAGAGACGAGATACAGAACTTAAAAATCTTCATAATGTAAACAAGGCTCGTGCCTTGTTTTTGTTTACATATAGAAAATGTAATATTTATAACAAAATGAAATTCAGCAAATCAGTAGAAACTGTCTAATTGTATTTAGAATTAAATTCTTTGTTGAAAGTATCTACTTTGAAAGAATATATTAATATATTAACCTATGTAAACAAAAACATGACACGAACCTTGTTTACATATCAAAGGTTTGGAGCTCTAAACCTGTCTTGTATCTCGACAACTGAAGTTCAAATTTTTGATGATCATTAGAAAGACACTAGATAAATATTTTTAAAAATGGAAAATAAATTTTAAAATTTCAGCTGAAACTGTGTCCATGCCCCCTTTAAAGCAAATATGAGCTGCAACTTTGATGTCGAAATTTTTTGTTGCAATATTGTAAATAACTATTTCATTGACTGAAAAAATAACATTATATAACTTTTCTTGTTCATACTTGCGATGGAAGATCTATTTATAAGCTTTGATTGAATCAAAATTACATTATTGTCGTCCTGTACAATAACGATTTCTTATATAAAACTGTATTTTGGATTGTATATAAAAGTCTTTTCTTCTGCTTTATTTTAGTCCAATTATCATGAAGGTTTAAGTTACATACAAATTTATCAACATAACACCTTTTAACACCAAATTAAATTTTCAACAATGCAGCTCATATTGCTTTCAGTCCATGTGAAATAAGTTTACTGAACAGGTCACAGACCAAGGTCAATGTCGCATGAAGATCATTTTATATCTGACGGTCTGGCAGAAATTATGTCTTGTTTTGAACATGAATCGAAGAACTATAAACAAGTTCTTACAATCTAATACGAGTAAGGCCTCTCCTTAGATGTGTATAAAATATTGTTATTCATTTGAAAAGGCAAATTTATACTCGTATATCTAGCTCCTCATAACCTTTGAACATCGATTTTTCCCCCTTCCCCACAGTCACACATTTTATAACTCTCGTATACCATTTCCTATTTCTAACGCAAAACCACACATATAATGTTTCCACGCAATCACGCATTTCTCAAGAACTTTCAAAAGTAAATTTGATCTTCAATTTAATGCCAATTATCTTCTTTTTTCATACTTGCTACAATCTCATAAAATAAGAAAAGTTATAATCTTATTAAAATATTACGTCGTAATTATTGACAAGTTTCTGTTGAAGAGAAACTTGTACCGCGCTATAACAGTGCTTGCGGGGAAAAAGGTAACGTCATATTTGTTGTGTCACAGTTCAATAAGTTGT